TCGTAGCAAGTTATGAATGCGTCGTTTTCTTGTTCAGCAATCGCGAGGTTTTTAAACAGCATACATTTACTTCCATAGAAAAACACAATGCAATACAACGCTAGTTGACGTTTCGGCAGTATGGCCTTCGATGTGCGATGGTGCAGTCGTCAATTACATGTGACTATAATCAGCTGTTCTAAACTTCGTCATTGGAAGTCACGAAAAAGCGGTGGGTTTTCAAGAAGTTGTTGATTATGTAATCACGGGAGAGTTCTTCGTTTTTTTGTAAGTGTTATTGAAGCGTTTGGCCTAGTAAATTGTATATCAGTATACCCTTCCAGGTTCTGAAGAAGACGATACTACCAAAACGTCAGCTAGTGTTGTATTGTATTGTGTTTTTCTATGGAAGTAAATGTTTGCTGTTTAAAAACCTCGCGATTGCTGAACAAGAAAACGACGTGTTCATATTCCAATGCTGCAATGCTGAGGTTAATAGAAAGTCGATCCTGGGAACTATTACAAGATGTAGCAAGTTATGTTGAAATATGTTTCAACTCACGAAAAAGATTGCTTCTTTTCTGAAGGTATTGAAGAATTCTTTTACAACAGTATTACATCACGACACAATTACTCAACAACGTGGAAACAGTTGCCACTACAGGATTTAAAATAACAATAATAATAATAATTAATAATAATAATTATAATAGCAATGACAAGAATAACAATAGTTGTAATAATGGTAGGAAGCAGGTAGCTCAGTGGCAGTCATGTCGTTGATCATGAGCACGGTGCTAGCTCGACTGGGCTCACCAACTATTTCATCCCTGCGAAGTCGTGTTGGATTGCCTGGCGACAGTTCACTACCTGCAGCAGTATTGGAAACGCTCTAGCCCTGCTGTTCAAGGACTTCGATGAGAATGGAGTTGAGCGATGCTCAACGACATTCATGAAGATGACGACAATTCTCAACCAGAAGTCGAACCCACACACTTGTATGAGCTATTCTTCTAGCCAAGAACTACTATTCCTGAGTACTAACACATGCTAATATTGACGCTATGAAAACCTCACTTCGTGACCACCAACTAGAAGAAACGAATAGAATGGTGATAAATGATAATAGAATAATGATAAATGGTAAGTAGTCGATGTAAATTCGCCACTAAATAAAGCCTCGATTGTTCATGACTCCGGAAAATTCTACTCTAACATTGAACAATGGAACTCTTAGAGAAGAAACGATGAATTAGCCCACATCAGTGCATATGGAAAATTTTGCTGAAAGGATATAGCTGTTCTCCATTTATACCATACGTGTAAATACCATAGCTTTCTCCGCGCCACTACCATATTTTCGCAGAAACCGGATAGATGTGCAGAATCCAGGACAGCAAGTATGAACTCCACTCTAGACTGAATTTATTAAATTCCTCCGGTCTCTGGCCAGACATGCTGGCGAATTTGTGAACGAAGTATAGCACTGCATCATTTAACGTCTAAATACCAGTAATAACTAGCCTGAAATTTTCAATGAAACTCAGAAACGCCTTTATCCGACAGCTCTCTGGTAGCAAGAAGTATCCCACACTGGCAGTTATAATACTTATCAATTTATGTCGAAGCTTTCAACTTGATACTTGATACTTGAACTGCCCGCCATCGCTAGTTGTGCGGGCGCCAGCATAATCACCATTTTTCGGAGATTTGCTGGTTAAGCCATTGCGGTTCCCTAGAATCCCGAGGACAGCCGCCTGGCCAAAGTCTGCCCCATGTCGTCACCACGGTAGGTAGACAGTCGCAGCTATTGTGGATCAGAGGGAGATTTACCACCATGCAACTTTGATACCAAGACGGTGATGGATCCTGGTATTGGTTCATTCTTAGCTAGGCGTCCTGATGGAAACGCCGGACTCCTCAGCTTGAGATACCCTTCCAGGAGAAAGAGTTTTCCCGCTGTAGATCGCAGTGCGACACCCAGGAGCACCTCCCAGCCAAGATGAGGCGGTAAACCGTTGGGAGGAGAGATAAATGGAGGGAGATGGACTCCTTCTCAGCTTGGGAGACCCTGCTGGGAGGACGAATCCCCCGCTGTAAAACGCAATCCGACACCCAGGAACACCTCCCAGCCACGTCGAGGCGGCTAACCTTTAGGAGATCAATTTACTGGAAAATTTTCTTATTCCGAACAGCGAAACGTGGAACTCCAAACAGGTCAAAACACGCGAAGTTTTCCAGTTCTTCTAAGTTTTTAGCTTTATCCGGACGAAAAAAGTGGTTTAGGCTTTAAAAAATTCAGAAGCTACTTTGATCTTCATAGATTAAATCGAAATTCACTTTTAGTTTGATCCGCTGAATATGATCTGATCTGACAGTGCTTCCGGGCTATTTATGGTGGAGCAATTTGTAGCAACCAGTTATAAAATATCAAAATGTAAAGCTTGAGGTTTTGCAAAACTCATTGTCACAAACTCCTTGAGCTTTGGTCGACTGCAATCACATGTCGCTTTGCTCTTGTTGTTCGGATAGATGAGCCCCAGCTTTTCATCAGAGAGTGAATGGTGAGCGCAGTCGTGTCCCTCCACTGCCAGCTGACTGGACTTTTAGATTGTTTGCATCAAAATAATACAAACAGTTGCTATTGAGATAGTAAATCTTTCTCATCTTACAAGTAGCATAAGTTGTTTTCGTCCTCCTGCTAGTGAAGTGGTGGATGAGTGTCCTAGGTCTCCCTCCTTCATCATGAATTTCAATTGCTTATACTTTAAAGATAAAGTCCAATGTAGACGTCAGTTACCATAAGTAGGTAATGTTAACTTTTATTTGCTGCCTACTACAATGCCGCGAAAAATTGTAGTAGGCAGCAAAGAAAAAGTTAACACTGTGAGTTCAACTATAGCGTCAGCTTAACTGGGTTCAGTGCCGATTTGGGCTTCCCTGACAGATCGAGGTTAAACTTTGTAAATCGACCTATTACATCGTCTGCGAACTCAATAGAGATTCCCAGGATCGACTTTCTCTTAACCTCGGCATTGGAATATGAATGTGTCGTTTTCTTGTTCAGCAATCGCGAGATGAGGAGGAAAACGACACATTCAATAGAGATTTTTAAAAGCTTGTGCGTGGATCAAGATACCAGTTGAAGCTTTGGAAAGAGTTCAGCACGATAATTCTTATGTACGTGGTTTGAGACATACAATGCTTCTACAACAAGGAACTTACTATTGTGTAAGGGTGCAATCATCAAATGAGAGAGTAGGTGCACGCATATTGCAAAAGTCATTTAGAGCATCGCGAGATCACACGCGAAACTTTCGAAGACTTTCGTCTCTTGATGAGTAAGAGGAAACGAATCAAATGCAAGAAGTGCAAGTAAACGCACAACATGTAATTTTGAGTCATGCAAATTTGTACTTATGCGTACACATGGGAAGGCGAGGATGACGCAGTGGTTAGTGATATCGTCATTCAGGAAGCAAAGGCGCTAGTTCGATCCGTGCCAAAGCGCTGTTCTCCATTCCACGCAGGAACACCTTAGCCCAGCTATCTCCAAGCTTGCTAGGAGAATTGACTCTACCACCATTCTACCGTACTCATAAAGAAGACGAAATCCTCAAGCAGCAGCTGAAACAACACGCGAAGTGTTTGAGGAACATTGTGGATGTTGGATGCGAGGAAACGAATCGAATGCAAGAAGTGCTCGAATCCGCCCAGCCAATATGAGGAGGGTGATGTAAAATTTGTGCATATATGTGTATACAATTTGTGATTGCTGTAGGACGTATTGTCTTCGTGAAGGTAATCCACATCAATGGATAATCCGTTCTCTACAAGAACAGCTATTAACCCTTTCTTAAGAAATTATCTACTCTTTCTCCCTCTGCAGAAAGTCTTCATAAATGGTGCACGGTCTTTTATGGAACAGCATATGCTTTGAGCCGAAAATGAGGCTCCTACGGTACAAAACAGAATATGGCTCGCTCGTGCGGTGTTCACTGAAGATGATTCCGTCTCGGTACGACAATGAAGATGCCACATCGAGATAACGAACAACTATGGACGACACGGACCGTCTGCTCTGATGAAGACGAATACGTCGAGCGCTAGCTGAAATAAATCTATTTATCAACCTCGTGTAAACTCAGCGATAAACTTAGATTTGAATGCGAAACAGAGTAGATCTCATCTCAATTTGGCCTTTCCAGGCTCTGAGGAAGGCGAAACCGCCGAAACGTCAGCTATTGTATGCTAATAAATTCTATAATAATGACCTCGTGTCTGCTTATTAAAGAAAAACATCGAATTATCAATCAATTCCGAGGTTAACAGAAAGTCCGTCGTGGGAATTGCTACAGAGTGTTGCTTGCTTTTAGCACTGCCTGTAATGACCACACGGCCACCTTTTAGTAGCTATTCGAGAGTGTCATTCAAGAAAACTCGATACATAAGCTTCATTTTTCAGCTATTATTTCTCTCGAACATTCACAACAGTTTTATGTGCTTATACGAATCATTTATTTTTAGTCAGTGTGGACGCATGGTTAGTAATCTGGCCATTCTCTTTAGAAGGTAGAATCGAGCTATCCTCGCACAAATCTCCCTTTCGAATCCCGTAGCCGTGCTTTCGGTGCTTTTACCTCGACTCTGAAGTATTTCTACATCACTGAATCGTTTTGAACAACCTATATTTAAATGATTAACACACACACACACACACACACACACACACATTGATTATGACACATTATACTTCCACGTGATTTCTGTGCGGTTGGTCTCTACGTGACATACTTAGTGGAGACCTCATAGAAAGCGGCTCTGAAGAAGGCGAAATTCGCCGAAACGTCAGCTTAATCGTGAACAAAGAATAATAACACCTCGCGTTTGCTCAGCAAAAGTGCGAACAAAATCACTTAAATGATTAAGTCCTGGGTCCTAGGCTATCATGACAGAGAGCGAAAAAAACATACGTTGATAATGCAGGACGCTTTCTTTGACTTCTGTGGTTCTTCACCGACCTTCGCTTTTCTTTCGATCGGGATTTTGAAGAACTACGACTTCTTGATGAGCGCTTATCTCGAGCACCTCGAGCACTTCTCGACCTACTTCGCGATGAGCGTTGAGATCGGCTACTGCGTAAACTTCCGGAACGTCGGCTAGACTTTCGAATTCTGCCAGATTGGCGTGACACAGACCTTAACATTTTGCTGGCTTACACATCGTTATTTCCATAAAGTAAGCATCAGTCTATGCCCTACCATCGTTTTCTGTCAAAAAGTCAAGTGTATATAAAAAACAACATACGCCTAGTACTCACCTTTTCGGGCGTCGTCTAACGGGTGTAGAGCTCGCCGATTGTATGGGTGGGGTTCCATCGAGAGCTCTGACACCACTTGACTGACGTCTTCTTGGAGCGGCAAGAGCACGGCTCCCACCGCGACCAGTCCGAGGGCTCCCAAGACCCTTTCGGCTATGACCCACTCGAGGCATGTCAGTAAAATGAAACATACCGCTGTTTTCTCCACTTAAATACATCAAGTTATCACCAACGTAACTTTCGTGTTTATACAGCCGGTGATAAATGAAATTAGGTTCCAGACTGATACACTTATCAGCAAAGGCTGTTAGTAAACATTGAACGAAGCCATCACATTTTCTGTATCAGTTTAAGTTATCTCCATCCACCCAACGGTTTACCGCCTCGTCGTGGCTGGGAGGTGTTTCTGGGTGTGGAGCTGCGATGTACAGCGGAGGACTCATCCCCCTAGCAGGGCCTAGGACCTCCCAGGGTGGGAAGGAGTCAGAGGTTTCTATTTTCTTCAGGAAGCCCACCTAGGAGTAGACTAATAGCAAGATCCACCACCGTCCAGGTATCAAACTAGTCGCTTGGTGGCAAATCTACCTTTGATCCACAAAGGCGGCGACTGCCTGTGGTGGTGACGATTTGGGGCATACTTTGGCGTGGTTGACCTCGGGATTCCAAGGAACCACAGTGGCTAAACCAGCAAAACTCTGAAAAATTGGAAATAATGCTAAGGCTCGCACAATCCGCGAGGACGGGCCATCAAAGTATCAAAATACTTTAGACAACAGACATCAAACTGTTCCATGATGAACCATTGAATTAATTTCGATGCGAAAATTCACAATTTCATGAATGATTGTGGACTCTTGGATACGATTTTTTGTGAAATTTCATGAACAAATGTCATGTTTTAATAACGAAATATTGATTCTGTCATTCTTCTAAGCTTATTTCTGGACGGAGGTAAGTGCATAACTGTACTCGCTCCATCTGCGGCACGTGGCTTACTCTGAAAACATTTTCAGGTCCGGTTTGAACCATGGCATAATTGTTTGCAGACAATATGAATGCAAACAAAACTGAAAGGTTTGTTAAGGAATCCGAAGTGTTCACAAAAATTGAACTCGTTTGTGTGAGTGGTGTGTTACTGTACGTGTGAAAAGTCGGAGAACAAAATTTTAGGTGCTTGAAATTGGGAATTAGTTGAGATTTAAAAAACGAACAAGCAAGGGTTATTTCGAATATGTGACAAGTACCGTACCTTTCGCATCGAGTCCTTTTGTTCCGAAAATCCTTTAAACATAAGGATTCTGTCTACATTTGCAATGTCTGCAAAGTCTTTCCCAAACACTTGTATTGTGACTGAAATAGACCAAACAGATATCTATTGGTGTAGAAGCAATGCGTATAGCACAGTGGTTAGAGGTGCCCTAAAGTACACAGCTCGCCAAGCATTCCGTCCGTCATGGGTCGGTAAATTGCTATGAGACTTGTCTATAGGATATCAGCACTAACTTGATACATCGGCTCACGCAAGTATTTATTGTATAATATAAGCCAGAAAATCCACCGAGGTGGTAGGTAGCGCAGGGGCAGTGCTACTGTGTAGAGGGCTCAATCTACCTAGGCGTTGGTTCGACGTGGATCCTAGCAAATCAAGTCTCTAATCCTTCCCGAATTATCAGACTAGTAGGGGCAGATTGAAGCCTTCTGGTTAACGCGGCAATGTTGCAACACTTCCATCTCAAGATTCTAGAGAGCATTGACTCCTACATCATTCGACGGCATTTGTGACGAAAACGAAAATCTCCTCGAGTAGCAACAGAGGGTAACCGCAGGAAAGTTCGAAGGCCTTCGTGGATAGTGGATGCAAAGGAGTGAACCCCATGCAAGAAGTGCTGGAATTCGTAGTGTGGGACGCATGTGACATTAGATCATTTAATAAAATAATAACAGATATGCATTCCATCACCTCTAATGATGATTGATGAAGTCGAATGCAGGTGCATCCCTAAGGGATTGGTCAACACCAGACACTTCATCCAAAGCTTTTACAAGAACCGCAACATAATGGCGCTGATGCACTCGTGCATTGGCCCCCGTACAAGAATAATCCATGAAGAATGTTGGAATAGGCCTTTAATTCATAGGATCGGAGTGCCTATTCTATAAGACCTCCCTCATATTCCAAAACCGTTCAACAAGTCATTATGAGAATTCAGTCGTCAATAAGTACGTCATGAGAGCCTTTACTCACGAAATATTTCCCTGTCTAACAGACTTAATCCAACGGCATGCTTTAAAACGTAATCGCTTTTTGCCTACTCTTTTTTCATACCATAGTATGATGTGAAATATAACCACAATGGTGCTGAGATATTTACAAAACTCCGGACTGTAGGTGTCTGAAGCGGGGATCGAAACTCGCTATTACTCTTCGCAGGGGATAAGTGTCCGCCTCTACACCATGCTTGTCGTTCGTTTCGCCTTGCCCTCACTCGTCATTTATAGGCGCTACCAGCAAGCACCCATGAAGGGGATTGATCTGGGGAACACAAATCGGCATTGAACCCAGTTAAGCTGAAGCTATAGTATAAATCACAATGTAACCACTATAAAACATGGCTGAAAGAAAGGCGAAACGAAAGACACGCATGGTGTAGTGATGAACACATTATCGAACGGAAAGGATAATAGCACGGTTCGATACCCGCCTAACACCTGCGCTCAGCGATTTTGCAAATATCTCAGCATCATTGCAGTGGCATACCTTGCCATTTGAAGTGTTTCTAGAAGGATTTTGTTTTACTCAGCTCCGTTCGCTCTCCAATTAACAAGGCCCTAACATATCACATTTGTGGCCCTGTACTTTGGTCTCAGTGGTACAAGAAAGCCACAAAATCTCCCACCAGTAGATGGAACATGAGTTGCAGGAATCTTTTCCATCATTACGATTCCGCTGGTCATAAAGAATTGAGAGTTTATCGATAAACTCTTCACTCGTTCTTCTACTGCGCCACTATGGCCAAGTGGTTTTCTCTCTTTCCTCTCTCGGTCAAGCGAAATGAGTACAGTTGTAGTTTTCGTACAAAATCCCTTATCCTGACCAAGCAGGATTCACAAAAAGCTCCTATGAGTGCAGCATAACGATATTCGTGAACAGTACGCAGAAGAAATTCCGAGGAAACCAAGGTGTTTCCTAAACCCCAGTGCGGCTCCTTCTGTGTGACGTCGTATATATTGCTCATTGTGTAATCACAGAATAGTTTCAAATCTCGGAAACTGTTGCCGTGGTGTCCAGTATCACACATCGGAATCCACCTTAGGACGTTATGGTGAGTAGATCCCAAGAATTACTTTCTCTTAAGCTTGACATTGATGAGTAATTTGTTATTTTCGTAACAATAACTCTAAGAGGTTGCTGTTACATGTGATATATTCGCAGCAGTTGTAACGGAAAGGGGTAGCGAATTACTTGTAGGGTAGGGAGCTTCATATTGGTCAGTAATCGTGCAAATTATTAGCACTTTACTGCTTTTATGATCGGTTAGAAGGTAAATAGGTATGTTGCGTTGTGAGTACCTTCTGTCATTTCGTCTCCACTCCTCTTCACATCCGTTGGGGTTCTCGTGCGAAGTGGTTTAGTTCAAAGAACGATCAGTTCTAGGAGAACAGACGCTGACTTATGCAGTGATATCAGAGGTGTTTGGAGTATAATAGCAACTCTCAAGCTGTGTTCGTGCTAGTCATCATTTGATTCGTAGGATATCTAAAATACTTAGTAGATAGCGATGTTAATAACTTTCCAGTAATATCAGTGCTTTTCCACCTTCTCTGTTTTCAATAACTGTTTTCCTTCTATGCAAAATATCTTGCTTAACTATAGCGATGATTAGATATTTAAAACAACCCGGGCCACTGGTGTCTGCAGTGGGAATCGAACCTCCTATTACATTGCCCTTTCCGGCGGATAACGCAGTCCAAATATCTCAGCGTCGTTATCTTCATATTTCACATAATACTCTGCCATTGAAGAAGAGTGCGCAGTGAATGAGAAATAGCGATGTCTTGGTTAAAACAATATATTGCTAGACTGCTTTTTCGCAAGATCAGTTGTTAGTCGTCCGACAGTGGTCAGACGTGAAGGGAATGTCCTGACAGTGCCGTTCATACGGCGGTACTTCCTCAAGTTACAATTTAATACTTTTCTGATTAAAGAGTTCGTAATATTTACCTCTGTGCACTCAGACATATCCATGCGGTCTGTAAATAGACCAGATTCACATTTGTAGTAGAAGTGAATTTGGGAAAGAGATCGGTACTTTGGCGGCACATCTTCATGGGTGTGAATTCTACCGTCCGGTCCACCTCGCACTGTGCGACACAGAGCTCATATTAAATGTGAATTCTACTGAAAATTACGCTGTTCGTCCTGTTAGATCTATAACAGTAAGCTATAGAAAGGAGTTTGATGAAGTCTTTATTCCTAACCCACATAATCCTTAGAGGTCATCGTGATGGAAGCGGTAACCTCCGGCGATTCATATTCATGGCTGTTTGCATGAATGCATGAGTTTGTTAAGTTTTCAATATTTAGTGGCTGATTATTTGTGAAGAAATTATGTTAAAATATTAGAATAAAGTGTTAGTTCGCCTGTCACAAGGTCTTTAGCGCTTGCACAGAGTGGGAAAGGGAGGGAATGCTGGCAGTCGTAACTAAAGTATGAATGATTCCTGTAGTCAAGTATACTCTATGAAGAAGAAGTGTTCTTTTTGTATTTAAATTTGATTCATTGGCACTTTTTCAGACTACTCTGTCGTGTAAGATAGACACCGCACACACGGACATCATAGTACGTTTACGCTTTTCTCCATTCGTTATCCTTTTTTTCCTGAACTCATTATCGGTTTGTAATTGGGCGGAGTGTTCTTGAGTGTCAAGATGCCATGTGTGGTAACATCTTCACTTCACAGGAAGGTACTGTTAATTCCGCCTATTCGTCGAAAACCAGTTTTGGAACTCTGACAGTTCTTTTATTGTTACCCATATAGTATGTTACAAGGTTGTTGTTGGTATATTTTAACTTGAGGACTGCTCCTGTATTTATTCAGACATTAGACATGCTAGCCATTACAAACACTTATTGTTGATGAATCTCTGATCTCGCTTACCACATCTCTAGTTATCTGAGCGCTTATTTCATCGTTGCATATAACGTAGTGGTTAGAAATGCTGTACAATACACATTGGATCAATGGCTGTTTCGATCGCGCGCTCGTTCTCACCAATCCTTCTATCTAACAGGTTAGATGAATTGGTACCAGACATGTCTGGGAAGGTAGATGAATTCATGGTGCTTTCCTCAAGGATTGGTCAACATCGAACGCTTTATACTTTAAAACATCGTTATCGCCATTTAAAGTATTAGATCTCTTGACGCTTTGAAATATCACCATGACAGTTTGCAGGACACCGAGTTTTTGTAGAATAGAAAGGAAATGTATGGGATTTACTGTGTGCGTGTCCTCATTTCCAAATCTACTCTACAGTTATATCCTCTACGTCTTAACTTTTTTCTTGCCTATTGGTTTTTTTTTTCATAATAGAGTACGACATGAATTACAATCACAATGAGACAGATATGAGCAGAGCTAGAAACATCATCTGGACTTTAATCTCACAATTACACTTACCGAGGGTTTATGTGCTTTAAACCACACCAACTGAGGCCTTTGCTTTCTCTTCTTCTCAGCGAGCTTTTTCGTATTCACGTTGACGGGTGATTGCTGATAGTACCGATAGAGTAGAAAACTGACTGAAAAAAAAGCAAAGCAAGACCTCCGTTGGTGTGATGGATTGCAAGTGGAGCTCTGATAAGGGTAATCGCGAGTTCAAAACCCACTTGAGTTTTTGAATTTTTCGTATCTCAGCATCCTTGTGGTTATTTCCTCAATGTTCAGGGTTTTGAAATTGTGATTCATACACATGTTTCATGTGATTTTTAAAACAGCGCATTCCAGCATGACGCTCAACTCAACTATTATGGTAATCGTCTCGCCACATGTTCTAGCGACCGTACTGTAAAGATTTTCGAGGTTGAAATTGTCTCTTCACACCTAATAGCTATATCCCGTTCCTTCTTTTTAAGTGAATAGTCATTTTAGGTGAAAGCAAACGGCTACGTTCTTCCTATAGCGGAACTCGCAGGTCATGCCGGACCTGTATGGCAGTTGTCATGGGCTCATCCAGATTTCGGTGGATTGTTGGCATCAGCTGGATATGATGGGTCAGTGATTATTTTACACTTCCGTAAAATTTAATTTTACGTCTTACGTCATTCTTTTTCCAGGAAAGTCGTTATTTGGGCAGAATGCAATGGGAAATGGCAGAAGTCATATGAATGGACTGGCCATGAAGCTAGTGTAAACGCTGTTTCGTTCGCACCCCATCAACTTGGTCTTCTTCTGGCTACAGCTTCTGCTGATTCTTCCATAGGAATCCTTGAGTTCAATCCACAAAACGCTCAATGGGTTGAGTCAAGAGTGTTGAAGGCACATGAACTAGTACGTATTGTTATCAATATTCTTACTTCTCTAAACGTTAGCTGATTGAATATCGGAGGTAGTGCCATGTAAGATGTGTGTAGTACAATGGTTAGAAATGATAGGCAGTACTCATGTAATGGTTAGTGCCCCCACGCCAAGCGTGAACCAAGCTCTTCATTCCTCTGAGAATGACAGATTGAGACCACACTAGTCTGGAATGGTAAAAATGGTAATTTAATACATCATTGGATCACCTCCACGATGCTTAATGTAGTCAAACGCATAGTACATCCCAAAAAAAGGATGAAGCTCTTGGCGTTGATCAATCCCTGAGGGATGCCTCATGCATTCGACTTCACTAAGCATCGTTGGAGCTGACTGAATGCTTGGGCTTTACAATGATTCGCGGTGGCCTACCGTTGTGTCGAGACAGCCTGGCCTGTAGGGATCGATCCCATGCGTATTCCAAGACGCTTCCGTCCACTGCGCTGCACGAGCCGCCCATCACATCGCTAAGGGACGGTAATGTCCAACCTTTTTTTATGTTATATGTTTTGTTACAACTATGACTAGTTATTCTATTTTTACAGGGGGTAAACGCGGTTTCATGGAGTCCTCCTCAACGCACGGTTGGAGATATGAAAGATCAACCTTTCCGAAAATGTTTCGCTTCCTGTGGGAACGACAACCTTATCAAAATCTGGACGTTAGTGCACTCATCCTTTCCTTTTAAAAGTTAATAAGTCGTAAATTCAATCGTGTCACCTGAAACAGCTCCATGTACTCGTCACAAATTTTGTAGCATTTCAGTGTAGATGAAAAGGGTGGGTGGACAGTTGAGAAGACTTTGGCGGGCCACTCCGACTTTGTTCGAGATGTTGCTTGGCGTCCAGTATTTAGTCATTCCATGTATACGATTGCTAGTTGTGGACAGGTGTGTATTCTTTCTACAAAGATATCTTAATGGTATCTTGGCTCATTACAGTACAGCTTAATTCTTCAGTGTTTATTTCTGTTTTCTGCGTCCATATAATTCGGGGAACAGAAGAACCTACTTTCTTTCTTTTTATTTTTTCACAATATTTTATACAGATACTTTTATAAGAATCCATTACTCTAAGGACCAAGCCGTAATACTCTGGAAATATAGTAAGAATGGTGAATGGACTGCAAAACTCTTGGAGAAGGTTTGCTTTCGGATAGATCTTACCGATGTTTGCCAAGTTTACTTCTAATGCAAGTCTATCGGCACTGCTATTTGCAGTCGTCCTTTTCCCTTCATTTTCTCTTTCCAGACCAAAGAAGCGTTATGGCATGTGAGTTGGTCAATGTGCGGGAGTATTTTATCGGTCAGTGGGGAGGATAACAAGGTAGAAGTCTAAATTCCCACATTTCTTCAAACAAGATGCACCTACTGATCATTTTCAGATAGTACTATGGAAGGAAAATCTACAAGGTCAATGGCAAAAAATGGAAGATCCGAGAATGACGAGACGATAATATTGCGTTATTTATTTTCCTCATAATAAAAACCAAAAGAATTATTCTCTTTAATATATATGTATGGAAACTTATCAAGTAGTAGAGAAAGACGTCAGTCCAAATGGATTTCTAGCCCATAAACATCGCGAATAATCTTAGACTCTATTTTATAAAGTCTTTGCTCAGTCATTGACTTATGGAGGACCTCAAACCAGTCTCGACTGTGTGGAACATCCACACCGATACCTTTTAAAACAAGCGAAATCACACCAATTACAAGCGATTGCGACGAATAAGACTCTATCAGATCAGGTACGGAATGGCAATCACGAAGCATTGCATTACAGGATTCCGCGATATGTCGTTCACAAAATTCTGTCGGCATCCACGATCTTAATGTATCCAAATACGCCGCGAGCACCTGAAAACGTTCGTTATTCCAATTCCGTGGAAGAGAGGTTAACCTGACTTACATCAAAAGGATGGCCAAAGTTGAGGTTAAAGTTCAGTTCGCGGAGGACAATAAATGTCAGTTCGGAAATGCCTTTTCTAACTTCATACATGTGATCGTCGAGTTTCGCTGGGTCACCGTCCGGATGCAGAATACTGAAACGAAGGAGACTACTATTCCTGAAGATATGCTGCTATTGTATATGTTGTAATGGACATTGACGATATCAACAGCTAATCTGCACTACTTTTAGGATCAAAGTACGAATATTTGCCTTGACTGAGCAGCAGTCAGAACTCTCAAAAACAGCCGTTTACCATTCTATAACCTGAAAAAGCTTGTTCATAGTTTCTGTTAAGTAGAACATACCGATGACTCGCATTAATGGCGTCGCGAACTCCTATATCCCTATCCTCCTCGTATTTTACAGCTAACACTAAGCATGTTGTCGCAAGGGTCTAAAACCACATTTAGATAATTGATTAGTTTTTCCAAAAGAAAGCTGTAGAACGGACAGTATCAATTCACTAACGTTAAAAGCACACAAGATTGTTGCAATGTAATCGTAAATAAAAAGGGCGCGTGTGGCGCAGTTGTCGGAAGCGCCACGCGACAGATGGACTCGATTCCCACGCTCCTGGCCCACCAAATCTTCCATCTCTCCGAGGTCGGAAAATTGGTACCAGACTTGTTTGGAAGGATAGCAGCACTGTCTCGATACATCGGCAGGCCATCGCGAGTCATTGTAAGGGCCAGATCACCTCCATTCAATCACCTCCAAACGATGCTTAGTCGAATTCACGGGGCATCCTTCACGGATTGATCAACGGCGAGAGCTTTGTCATTTTTAGAGCTTTATGATCGTAAATATTGAACACCTATTGAAGGAACTTACATAGTTGCAAACTACAAAGCTGATTTCTCTTTGTAGGAGACGATGCATCATCATGATAGCTGAGCAGACCGTCCGATTTTTGCTACCAAGCCGAACTCCTTGTAATAGGATCAGTACAAATTTATATCGAAAGAAGAGTCTGAAGCTAATATAGAGATTGGAATAGAGCACTTAGAATGCAGCTTCACAAGGATATGCCAGTGTTTGGCTGACTGCTGAAAGCAGGAGTATCCATTTTGCACCGAATGGCGAGCGCTACTCACCGCAGCGAATGAGGTGTCGATAGATCTCCTTCGGTGGTGGGTTAGCTATCGGATCGTTGAACTGCTTGTCGTTGGCCATTGAGTCGTTTTCCTTTTTCGACGTCTGAAGAAAAGTTTTATCACTCTCACTAACTTTTGAAGACACCATGCTTTGATATAGAGACGACAAATCCTCTGTATCTTGGTTGTTTTCCCAAGCCATGCTTATTCACTCGCAGTATTCTCCTTGTATCCTGCAGATCTCACGAAATTAAATTTGAGAACTGGCATAGTAGAACTCATTCTTGTTCCACGATTTTAAGCTAAAAGTCGCTAAAACTTTCTAGAACAACAGGATACCTCACCAATTCCTTTAGTATCGTGACAACATCTAGTTATAGCCTTCATAGTGTTTACAATACATTATTTTTCCATACCTCCCGACGGTTTACCGCCTCATCGTGGATGGCAGGTGTTCCTGGGTGTCGGGCTGCAATGTACAGAGGGGGATGTACGGCCGAGGAAGTCATCCCCTAGCAGGGCCTCCTAACACGAGGAGTCTGGCGTTTCCATCAGGAAGCCCAGCTAAGAGTAAATCAATACCAGAATCCAACACCGTCCCAGTTCCAAACTAGTCTCATGGTGGCAAATCTAACTCTGCTCCACGAGGACGGCGGACTCACTGTGGTGGTGACCGCCTGAGACAGACTTTCGCTAAGCTGACCTCAAGACTCCAGAGAACCACAATAGCTACACCAGTAAAATTCCAAAAAAATCGAAATTATGTTGCGGTCCACACAACCAGTGAGGACAGGTCATCCAAGTATCCAAATAGTCTTTCCGTAACCAAGAAGATGTGCTTATTTAAAATTAAATGGAACCCAGAACTTAAGTACTCATGTTGTTTGGCTGAAAACCTAGTCCAGAAGAAGACCCATCTGATTGGCGCTTCCATAAACAAACAGAAAAAAACCCCTTTAATACGGAAATAGAAGGAAGTATCAAACTATTTCGATGCTGACGATAGAACTTCCCTTTCCTGAAAGCCTATCAAAACCACAGGTTATTTTAAACAGCATTTCTTGGTTAACACAAGACATAACAAGTGTTGAATTTTCCATCGATTAGATTTGTCGATCGGTAGGTATAGCAGGAAAGTTCCATGTGTCAAAACAAACCACCAGAAGGGAAATGAGACACGATCAACTCATTTTGTCCGACATACCCTACAATCCCCGCGTGGCCTCGATAAATCATATTTTTACGAATGAGTTAACTACAGTGAAGACTGCCGCAGACATGACTCTTGGAAGGAATTCGTATTAAGCCATCCATAAAACAGCTAGAAAAATCAAATACTAAACCTTCACTGGCTTTAAATCTAAACATATTATGAAGGCCTGACATTTTTCAATTCAGAAACTTCTCCAGTGAGAAAATATAAAGCCAGAAAGTTCAAAAACTGAAGCTAATTTCTTCACATAACGTCTCATGTACGGCAAACTTTTACATCTACGAAATGAAACAATAAGCAAGAAGAACCGAGATGGACTAAAATTCCAGTGGTTACTGAGTACTCGTTCATGGAAAAACCAGCATATGAACTGAATAAAGTTTCATAAACGTTTATTTTTCGTCGTCGACACAAGGAACGGAAATCTGGACTTTACCGTTACATTCATCAATACAGGATACCACAGAGATCAGCGTGTCCAAGATATAAAGGTAGAGAAAAAAGGAACGATATAAAAGATTCTGGATACCGAAAGGTTAATAAACATCAATTAACATTATCCTAATCTACCAACACTAAAAAACTTGTAATTTATGAACATTTTAAACCGCCACTAAACGAAGGCTATCTCCAGGTTCGGGTGAATAGAAATCTAGAGTGCGTAGCGGGTTTTCAAGTAGAATTTGATGAGTACCCTTGTCGAGTTGGAGCGTCACTTGCGTCGACTCAAGCGAAAACATTCGCCTAACCTGAACGGGACCTTATTTAGAAGAACAACATAAAAGTCAGAGCTTCTAAACCTCTAAGACAAACCATTTCGGTAAGTTTTTGCACAGTCATCGACAATGGCAGGCGTTTCTCTATAGTATTACCTTCATAGCAAATTGCAAGTGGTACTACATTCAAACCAGTGCCTTTTGAATCGACAACGGCGATAGTTCCATGGACCTTTAATTAGAGAATTCAAACAGAATAACAATGTTACGGGAAAAAAGCGGTCCTCATTTTTCAAACCATTCTAAGGCGTTCAATGTCGATGACATGCTCTGCTTTCACATTATCGTCTGCACAAATATACTTGTCCAAAAAGCGAACTTCAGCCGAATGCCTCTCAATAGCGCTGATAATGAAGTGATTCAGATCAATCAAGCACGGTAACTTAGCGATTATTACCTAAATCAAGTACAGGAATTGTATGGATATCCATTGAAAACATCGCATTTACACTTAGAATTACGAAAATGGCACCTCGTGTGTGCTGATGCCCTGGATGCATTGTAAAGGTTCGCAGTTAATATAAAGGGTGCTGAGTTTCGGCAAAAGTTGTAGTTGATTAATCGAACTCCACTTAACAGAAGAAAGTTTTGGAACTGTGAGATCGAAAAAAGTGAACAGCCGCAAGAAGAAATCGCTTACATCCGATATGACGTTGTCTTTGATGTTCAGAGTAGTGAGGCTAGGAAATCGACCATTCTCAACCACAATTCGCTTGATTCCGCAATCGACAACACTTAGCTTCTCCAATCTGAAAACTATGAAAGACCCATTAAATATACACCTCCGCTACAAAAACGATGTACCCTCCTGACTCGAAAGCCCTAAAAGTTGAGGACAACAACCCAAATATGAAAACAAAAACTTAGAAAAAGAAACTAACTTGTTTAAATTTCCATTTATATTAGACAAACAACTAATAGGATTATTTCCAATGTCAAGATTCTGAAGAGAGTCAGCCACATCCGGAACGAAAAAATGGGTAAAGCGATTCCCAACTGCGTGCAAAGTTCGCAAACCTGGTAAATAGCACAATACGTTGGAAGTCTGAAACAAACAACGATATGTAGGCTTAAAAGGAACTATTACTCCTGCTGAAGAACCCTGATAACGGCTCAACTGTTAGAAGTTACTTTCGTCATTATAACCAGCATACCGATTCGGCGGACAGATCACAATCACTTATTATCAAGTCACTAAGGCACTTCACATCACTCCATGCTCCGCCCACACCAGCAGTTTCCATACGATTTTTCCTAAAACACAGTTCCTATCAGCTACAAATACCGAATTTAAAATAATCTTAGCGGTTTTCACTTAGATATTAGGATGGCCCGTCTTCACTGGTTGTGTGGGACCCAGCATTATTTCTTCTGCTTCGGAGTTTTGCTGGTTTAGCCATTGTGGTTCCCTGGAGTCTCAAAGACGGTCTGGCCGAAGTATGCCCCAGGTTATCACCACCACAGGCAGTCGCAGGCCTTGTAGATCAGAGGGAGATTTGCCACCATGTAACTAGTTTGATACCAACACGGTGATGGACCCTGGTATTGGTTCACCCTTGGATGGGCTTCCTAATGGAAACGCCAGACTCCTTCTCAGCTTGAGAGACGCTGCTGGGGAAACGAATTCTCCCGCTGAATATAGTAGTCCGACATCCAGGAACACCTTCCATCCACGATGAGACGATAAACCTCTAGAGGTCAGTGGTTTCTAAACAAAAAAGCAATAGATCTCAAATATTGAATTGCGAATGAATACCGAAGGACTAGTTCTCGCAGTCGTGGAAAAAACATTAGAATCTTCCGAATATCTTCCCATTGTTGTAAAAGATTGTTAAACAGATTTAATGAAACACATCTGCTGAACGAAGGGCATGTCTCCACAGGTGGGGCGACAACAGAGCAACTTTCCAATACAATGTAGCGCAGCTCGAAGACATTGCTACAAAAAAAACAGGTTAAGAAAAGAAAGAAAGGAAAAAGAAAAGAAAGAGAACGTCTGCATAATCACAGAGATCAATAGACCTTTGTTTCTGCGATGTTGATTGCATTCCAACGAGTTCGACAGTTTTACTATGAATAACGAAAACATTCTCGTCAACCGAGTCAGCATAACGGTTCAGAATTGCCGTCAACAGATCTAAGCCACGATGGACATTTTGAATATTAACAAGTGATCCTCCTCGAGAAGATCTGGAAACGAAAATTTGGGAAAAATTGACATGTGGATCCTTTAACACCTATTACTAAAGCTTGCCACGAATTTATATAGTCATCTACTGTCCAATTTTAAAAAAGATGTAACCCAAAGCAGAAGAAAAACCATTGTTATAAAAACTTTTTTGAATTAGCACAGGATATAACCACGCAAGTTTCTACTAATCAATGATTATAGGCCTTTTGAGTGAACTAACGAGCCAACGGCCTACCTCCTAATGGCCAGAAAAGGCTTTCAGCACTATTTAAACAAGGAATAAAGCTCTCGGTGTTGAGCAACCCCTTGGGGAAGCACATGCATTCAACTTCACTAACCATCGTTAGTAGTGATTGAATGTACATTGGTTTTCACAATGACTCGCGGTGGCCTACCAATGCCCTCGGAGAGATGGAGGGATTTGTGAGCATGGAGCGTGGGGATCGATCCTATGTGTAATGCAGAGCCCCACCGACCACTGCGCTATACGCGCACTTCAGCACCATTAGCTGCTTTGAATTGCCGCCAAGTGACATCAAGCTTCGTGACAGTTCACTGAAGCCATAAAAAAGGATAAAGCTCTCGGCGTTGATCAACCTTCGAGGGATGCTCCACGCATTCGTAAATTCTATAACATCAACTTCGTGTTTGCTCACTGAATAAAAAGACTCCTGAGATTAACAGAATCTAGCTAGCAACAGAAGAAGAAAATAAAGCAAAGAGACCTACATACTTTGTCCGAAAATACTGCACACCATTCACGAATCCGTTATGTTTCCCACGGTTCGGATCATCCCATTCCACACCAGCCCATATTCCCGGATAACCTGCTACTTCGCCCACATAACGAATTACAGCCGAGTGACCTCCAACCATCACTCTTTCACCAATTACTGCCATGACGCTAAAATACAACATCAGATATAAAAAATGTCTGTATCGTAACTGATTTGTATTCCCAGTTCACGGATGGCCAAAAGCTCCGGACGATTATATTCGAGATATTAATAACAATGAAGGAAAAACTCGTTTCTATCCGACATTATGAGATTAGGGTTATCGCGAAAAACGTATTCTATCACCAATGACTGACAAAAGTGTCGCCGAGCTAATTCTCAGTACTGAACACCTAAACGTCCAACAGTTGTAAGACAATCTCTAACTCTTTGCTTACTACCACTATCATGCTGAGATATTCGTAAAACTTGGACCTCGAGTCAGATCGAACCACGATTACCCTTTACGGAGACTCACTGAGGCTCCTGTTTTGCGTCTCTTTGCTAGTTTTTAATTATTGCCTATTATTTCCTTCATGGCATGGCATTACATGAGATACGAGCAGACTGTTGATGGCACCAATAGGTAGAAAACTGGCTGACAGAAAGGCAAAATAAGGTCCCCAGTGGTGGAGTGGTTAACACGCTAGCCCTCGGAAAGGATAAGCGTGGGTTTGAATCTCATCTGGTGTCAAGTTTTACGAATATCTTAGCACCATTGTAGTTATAACATATTTTGAAGAAGACAACCTACGTCATGTAGACTAAAATCTTGGCGTCTGCAAAAGTACACAGCAATTCAGATTGTGGATTGTGTGAATGCACAAATCGACGAACAACGGTGAATTTCAGAGCAAAATCGTGTGGTCTTCATGAATATTGACTGGAACACATGGAGAGCTCGTCCTCACCGGTTGTGCGGGCTCCAGCACAATTTCCGTTTTTTCGGAGTTTTGCTGGTCTAGCCGTTGAGGTTCTCCGGACTCCCTGGGTCAGCGTAGCCAAGTTCTGCCCCAGGTCGTCACCATCACACACAGTCGCCGCCATTGTGGATCAGAGATTTGCCACCGTGCGATTAGCCTGATACCAGGACAGTGATGGATCCAGGTATTAGTTGACCCTTAGCTGATCGTCCTGGCGGAAAAGCCTGACTCTCTCTCAGCTTGGGAGACCCTGCTAGGGTGTGGTGGAGGTGAGATGAACCCCACGCTGTGCATTGCAGCATGACAGCCATGAGCACCTCACAGCCAAAGACTAACGGATCTAAGGAATGAAATGGGCAACACACTTGATGTTAGTGTCCAAGTACCATCTGCGACAGCGTCTGACGATGTGTCAACTGCACAGCGAAAAGACAACCGAGCCACCGACAGTTGTGCTTCTTCGCTTGAAATTCTAGACTAAAAAAATGTCTTTTTGTTTCTAAAATGGCTAAATTTCACTCAGAAATTCTCGCACGAACGAAGAAAGACTTTACTGTCTGCTCTAGTTGTTCACTGATCAAGACGAAAACTGATGGTAGAGGCGATTAGTAGAGGAACTGTAACAGTTCTAGTAAACTCGAAAATAAACACCTTCAGCTAGATTCGTATAATGGTCGTTCTCGTGGTGTTATAATGTTCTTGTGTTATATGAACACCTATGATATCCACTACGCTAGAGTAATTTCGCAGTTAATCCGAACCGAGTTTTGGTTTTCTTTACAGGCATACCCTCGTAAGATAGTACGCCAAGAGATTGGGTGCCTAAGACTTACCACCCAAAACATTCTTCACTAAACCAGCCACATTATTCACCCTGCAACCATCTTAGCATGTACTGAATCCTGAGTCGGAACAGTCGTATCCACATATCTGACACACTTCGGCATTACAGTTCATTGAGGAACATGAATACCACCACTTTCCCGAAACAACGTCTCTCCTCGTCAGCACTTTCTTTCCTCAAAAGCTTCTAGCTTGTCAGTTCGACTTTTTTCTCCTCACCAAAAGTGCACTCTGGGCCAAATAACCCACCTTCTATATCATTAACCTAGTCATGAGGCGCGTGTGGCGCAGTGATTGGAGTCGCTCTGCAATACACATGGAAACGATACCTGCGCAGCAGGCTCACCAAGCCCTTCTCCATCACTCCAGGTTCGGCGAATTGGTACCTGCGTTGCCTGCAAGGGTAGCAGCACCGACTCGATACATCGGTAGGCCACCGCGAGTCATTGTAAAGGCCAGATATGCATTCAATCACCTCCAAACGATGCTTCATGACGTCGAATGCATGTGAAGCATCGCTCAGGAATTGATCAACACCGACATCATCCTTTATCCTTTCAACCTAATCACCAACGTCATGTTGCTCGGGTTCCATTGGTAAACAATTGAAACTGCCGCATCATGAAATTTGCCATCAAGAGCAGGCAGGAGTCTATGTATAAATTCATATTTCCAACATAGTGACCAGATCTAGCTTTATACACATTCGAATCGACATTATGAAAATGCACACAGATAACGGCAGTATAGCAAGAACTAGAATATACGATTAACGTTGTAACGCTGTAAAACCGAGTTTACGATAAATTCGATTTTATCCCGTAATTATTACCACCGAAAAAATTTATGTAAACAGTACGCGTAATAGAATGCACACAGAGGACTAGTAAGTACAATTTACAGTAATCGATATAGTTAGTAGAAGAAGTAAAAGATGTTAAGGAGAGAAAACTCCCAAGCTCAAATATCTGTAGTCGATCTAAACTGCAATGTGAAACATAGCCAAGAATATCATAGCTAGTACCAAAGTGTAGCTATGACAAAACACTGTTCAGAGTTCACAGGAAGGTAAAGATTATAGACTTAAATTTGCTCTTCTAATTCATCAAAAGTTCCTTTGAGTCAATCTTCTCCAGGAATAAAAACAGTAAGAACAGCAGCGTGGTACCAAGAACATCACCTAGAGCCGTAAGGTATGGGATGGCCGCGTTGTCAGGATTGATTCGCCAGCTCCACATCACAGCTATCATATATTGGCACACATACAGCAAAATCATTACCTGAGAAACACAAATGTTATAAATAAGTGAGATAACCTTTTAAGTGTGAATCTCAAAAACGAGAGAACTAGTAAAAAGCGAGATCTTGCTACAGACAATACGACCCAGTAACTAAAAGAGACGGCGCGTGTAACGCAGTGGTCGGAGGTGCCCTGCAATACACGTGGGGTCATACCGCTCCCTACGCCCACCCACCAAACCTTCCATCCCCCAGCGTCGGCAAATTGGTACCAGACTTGTCTGGGAGGATAGCAGCACTGGCTCGATACATCGGTAGGTCACCGCGAGTTATTGTAAGGCCAGATAGACGTTCAGTCACTTCCAACGATACTTAATGAAGTCGAATGCATGGCGCATCCCTCAGGGATTGATCAACGCTGAGTGCTTTATTCCTTATTTTTATTAACTAGCATACGACCCAGATATCTATGACACAAAGAATTCTCAACCTTACAGCAAAAGCACAAAAGACCGAGTCCAAAAGACTTCACAAAAACTAAGAATAGTGAAAAGTGTTAATATAAGAGAATTCAGCATGTTAAATTTCACTACATCCTCTATGTAGTGCAAACATTTCCTTTTTTTATTACAAGGAGTGGGAATCTACTTTTGTTCGTTACGGAAATTGTCATACTTATGTCTTCTTTCTCTCGAAAAAAACTATGAGAGTTCGCAAAAAACTTCATTTTTCTTCGACAAGATATTATTTAACATACTTTCCATAAAATTTATTATTTCCGCACCGTACAAGGTTACATTGAGACACATTTGTTAAATCGGCAACTCGCTTATAGCAAATGTACGCAATGTGTTCCGCGAAAAGTTACTTTCTACGTACCAAAGCCCAGAATTAGCAGCCTTTAGATCTATTTTCACTGTTAACCCTGTAGTAATCCCTTGTTTCCCGTAAAGACAAAGGAAAACAGAATTTTGCTGCTGGAGAGGGTAGCATGATTTCAGCACTGTACTTGTACATCAAGACCCCACATTTAAGAACTCCGCCTCACGTGTGCCGGTCCACCATCAAGAAGCTATAGGAATGGTGTAGTATGACAAGAGATTAGACAAGAGACAACCGCGTGCGCGTCGACGAAAGTTTCCAGATTTGACGTATAAGAAAGGACAATAGGCTATTAACTTTTCTCCGAAACCTCTAACTGTTCTACAAATAGCTTGCAAAAATCCTACTTCATGATTACACATGAGTAACCATATATTCATGTATCCCAATGAGGGATCATTCAATCAGTCAGCCACCACTTCACGAGGAATATCTCTAGGTTGCGGATTATGCAGACCAGTCACATCGGCTTCTCTGCGATAGAGGTGGAGATTTTCATCCTAAGGAGAGAATGGCAAACCACCAGTGAGTATATCCAGCTCTAACGGTAATAGATCAGCAAGACAACCGTGGTTATTAATTGTTAGTAAAATAGGTAGACCTCATTTCTCTAATCCTGAAGGATCTCCAGCACGGTAGTCTTGGCTCTGACAAGTACGGAGAGGATTCTAAAATTTCAGAGCCAAGCTGGATAAATCTAGAAAGACTAAAGTAACAATATGCACTAATAATGTACGTTCTCTAGCATGTGAAACATTATTCATGGACTCCAACCACTCCGACCTGAACTTTCCGGGATTACATATTTAACTAGTTTTTGCTCTTTTTCTGCGCGTATCAATAAATTGGGTCTTCCTGTGGAGGAATCCCGTATAATAATTACTAATGTGCAGATTTCTAACTTTAGATTTTCTTCCATCTCAACGGTTTACCGCTTCATGGTGGTTAGGAGGAGGAGGTGTTCTTCGGTGTCGGGCTGCCACGTACAGCGGGGGAGATTCATCCCCTCAGCAGAGTCTTCCAGACAGAAGGAATTTGGCGTTTCCAACATGAAGACCAGCTAAGAGTAAATCGTTACCAAGACCCACCACCGTCCTGCTATTAAACTAGTCGCATGGTGGCAAATCTCGCTCTGATCTAAGAGCGCGGCTTCTTGTGGTGGTGACTACGTGGAGCGGACTTTGGCTAGACTGACATCGGGACTCCATGGAACCAAAATGGGTAAACCAGCAAAACTCCGACATAATGAAAGTTGTGCTGGGACCTACACAACCAGTGAACATGGGCCATCCAAGCATCCAATTAAGTAAGATTTTCTTCTGTTACACAACAAACCATCCATGAGTCTCATTACCACCGATCCAGTTAAGTTACAGCTCTGGAGTGATCGTTCTAGACACGCACAAGAATTACATATGTAGCTGTTATTATTGCACAATTTTGTAATTCAGTCACATGTCTGTGTCTCCACGGATCTCCCTCATAAATAGATCCTATGCCGGTTAGTCGCTAGGCAACCTCGCGTGTCCCCAAGTGGCGGATGAGGGTTTAACCACGTATCAAAAACGATTTTCGCTTTACGGAGATGCATGTGGACCGATTTAGTCTGTACTTTTTGTTTTTACGAGGATGTATTCATGCATGTGTACGTGGGTGTCTTCTAGTTTATGCGGATTGTATTGTAAGACTCAATTCGGCCAAAACGCTGCAATTATATGGAAAGAAAGTGTATGGGAGGCTGTTATAAATCACCTCGAACAAATAACCTCCCTGTCTACTTTGGAACAGATGGCAAGGTACCTGGTGAGTAAACCCAACTTCCATATTCACAGCTCACCAAGCTGTACGTTGGTATAAAAAGCTAAACAACGTTGGGTAGGAGGAGTACGGAGAGGATGCTAAAATCTCAGGGCCAATGGAAGCTGCCTGGATCGCGAAGAACTAAGGTGACGGCCTGTACCTACGATGCATGCACAATTTCATCTGATTCTTCGACAGAAAACTTGATCTTGCAGAGGCAACAAGGATAAGGTGGAACGTCATCGGACTGGCTAGACGAGAAGACGCCGTCTATTCAACGCCGTCTATGACACCGGAGAAGAAGTATTCCTCAGAACATGCGACAGTAGGGAAGTCGGCGGCGTTGGCGTTCTCGCCAACACGAGTTTGTCCATGAACTTTGATTCATTCGAACAACTAACAATCCGAATCGGAGCTCTACAGTTGAAGAAATGTGAATTACTACCTGCTTTAACAACCCTCGCCGTCCACCGAAGTTGAAGCGTTCTGTATGGAGTTTGAAAAGTTCTACAGAGACATACGTTCTTTGAGGAAATCATTAGAGATTTCAACGCTAATAACAGACACCGAAAAAAACGTCTGAAGAACGTCATTTGGAGACCCACGGATCAAAATGGAAGAAACAGGGTGAGTACTTGCCTGAGCTTACCATGGCGACCAGGATCATCCATGGTCACTCGCAATTCCAAAAGCTCCACCCTCAACGCTGGACATGCGATTCTCCTAGTGGAGGGTACTATAACGAAATAGACCACATTATAGTAAATAGAAGGTTTTGCCTAACCTATATCGTTGTTGTCCCAAAATTCCAAACAGCATTAGAGCATCACCTCCTTCGTGCGAAATTTCATTTCTTGAGAAAAGGAACGAAATCCGCTAAATTCGAAAAACGAAGCTCCAAAATCACCATAACATCGACGAAGAATACAATTGGCCCATTCAACATCTTCACGTTAGCGCTGTGAAAGCTTAGAGTTCGAAAGTCACCAAGAAACCTCTGCCTCTATAAACACTCGAGTTGGTACGCCAACGAGGAACTGTACGTGCAGCAGATAATTGCAAACTGGGGTCCGAACTTCCACAACAATGCAGAAAGGCGACAAAAGAAGATCTTAAAGAGAGAAGAGCAGCAATTATGGTAGAAGCTGTAGAGGCTTTGAAAAGAATTCGCAAAGGCCACTGAAGCTTGACCAATTACAAAACCAATATGATTGCACTCCGACACCCATACGGAGCAGTTACAGCATCCAGACAATGAAGAAGAATATCCACGACTACTACTCGAAGCGATTCAATAGATAGGTCGCCCTGCCTCCATATGAAATAAAGCAGGATAAATAGGATAGATATGTTGCACTACCGGTTCTCCCTTCCGAAAACCGACATGCTATTTCGTCGGTGAAAAATCGAACAACACCAGGTCCACACAGCATAAGATCTGACGATATGAATAACCTTTTTCCAGTCCTCACAAACACATTGGTTCGGCTCTTCACACGTTACTTGACTGAATGTAAAGTTCCTACTTAATGAAAGAGCGTCAAGACCGTGTTAATGTTCAAGAAAGGTAACCTCCACAATATTGGCAATTTTCGCTCAATCTGCCCGCGGTGTATCCCCTACACTTTTCAGTCGAGTTATTCTAAACGGGATTGACAAAATACTGGACGAAGGGCAGCCATATGAGCAAGCAGGGTTTCGAAAAGGATTTAGTACGACGGAAAACATCCACACGATAGCAAGACTCACTGAAGTATCGCGAGAGTACAAAAGACCACTCTGTCTCACTTTCATCGATTTAAAGAAGGCCTTTGACTCCATTAAGATTGAAGCAGTCATGGAAGCCCTTGATAGTCAAGGAGTCCCTACTCAGTACATAAAGATTCTTAGTGAGCTGCATAGAAATTTCACAACCAAAATATCACCATTCTACAACGATATCAACACCGAGGTCGGAAGAGGGGTCAGGCAAGGCGATACCATCTCGCCAAAATTATTCACCGCCACCCTCCAGGACGTCTTGCGAACATTAGAATGGGATAACATGGGAGTAAAAATCGATGGTCGGCAAATACATTTTGTTCACTTTCTTGAAGAAATCATTCTTATAACATCAAACATTAGCCAATCGGAACGTATGCTCGACGATTTTGATAAAGCCTGTTGAAGAATTGGTCTTCGACTAAATCTCACAAAAACGATGTTCATGAAGAACGGATTGGTTTCGTATGTCCCATTCACGCTCAACGGAAAGAATATCTCCGAATGCTCCAGCTATGTCTATCTAGGCGGGTAAATCAACAAGACGAACGACTTAGTGTTGTGCAGAGGGAAACGAGCGGCTTGGAGAACTTTCAAGAGCATCGAGGATGTAGTGAAGAGGACAAAGAATACCCGACTCCGTACCCACCTTTTCGACTCAACGGTACTTCCTGCTCTAACGTATGCATCAGAAACCTGGTCGCTGCGTAAGCAGGATGAAATACCACTCAGCGTTATCGACGCGTCAACAATCAAAGATGCTGTTCTGTACACCAAACAGTCGAAGATAAGGTAGACCGCACACGTAATGCGTATGAATGACAACCGATGGACAAGAGCCGTTACTGACTGGATTTCTCGGGATGTCAAAAGTACTGCAGGAAGACCACCGACCCGATAGTCAGAGTTCTTCACGAAAATCTTAGAAGAAAGAGATGAGGCTCAACGATCCCTATAGCAAGCAGAACCCACTGGGATACTCTTGCACGCGACAGGGAAAAATGGAAGATTAACTGAAGCCCGCTCGAGTCACTCGAGGATTAACGGGACAACAGTTGAAACAGGTGATACAGGTGTGCGCCTCCTCTGTGGCATATATTATTGGTGGAATGGCACTATCCCTCCAAAGAGCACTCGTTAATACAGACGATTGTGCCATGTTTGCATATTCATTTCCAATTTTTATCGACGTTTAGAAAAAGTGGGCCATCTCTGAAAAACTACTTTGCTTGAATGATCAATTATCAATAAGATGGACTCGAACAAAGTAGCTTTTCAAATCCGGACGTAGAATAAATCGATGAATCTCTTAAAAAGTATTCTGTTGTCGCCAGTGATTCTTCTCTTGCCCATATCCTTCCATTTTTTATTCCTTCTTTTCCTCTCTAGTCTCAATGATAAAGAATGGTTAATGATAGAGAATGAAAAAAAAGAATGGTTATTCCTTATTGAGTAAAAATATGTTAGAAAAATATTTTTAGGAAATAGGCCAAAGTAGGTTTAAGTTTTCAAGCCAAAATATACTCTGTATTTGCGAAACCTATTACCAAAAAAAGAACACCTTAGCGAATGATAGCTGTGTTTTGTCACAATACCCAAACCGGTAAGATGCGCATGAACTAATCAGCACTTTGTTTAATGGCGGTATACTTACTCTAATGTGGACAAAATTCTGTGCCGGAAAAAAAGTATAAAGAGGCACATATTCAATAGCCACAATGTGAAATACAAGACAAGTATCACGGTAGAAAACTGCAAAATGTTTTAAAAATGTGAGCGGGCAATATGTTTACAGGGCCTTATATTCAATTGAAAAAAGAACTTTTAAAAAAGGTGAAGGTGAAAAAGGTAGAAAAAGGTAAAAAAGGGTTTAAAAAAAAGTAAAAAGGAACCTGCACAATAGCTGCGATTAGATAAAGACTAGTGAAAAGGGCACCGTGTGGCGGTATAATGGATCCAAAATGAAAAACACGGATCAGCCAGTTGAAAGCTATGTGCCCAGGTACGACAAGAAATAAAAGAACGCGCGCGGAACGAGAATCACTATCTGAAAAGATTGGATTGGAAGGAAGATATAATAGTTCTCAAGATCGAGTTCCTATTAAGCTCGCCATTGGATTATAAACTGCTGTTCTCTTTTTTAAAGCAATCGCAAGGTTGTTATTCAGCACACCTTTACTTCCTTGCAAATATAACACATACAACAAAACGTTCATTGAAACATCCTCGTTCATTTCCCTTCTTCCCACCCTTCGCATACAGAGTGCGCTCGTGGGAAACATGTTTCGAACAGCCACATCTGCGTGCACAAATAGGGAACTAAAGGAAAAATCGCGCAACTTGCCTCGGGAAATAACCATCTCCAATGGCTACGAAATAGTAACCCCACGAGATAAGTTTACAAGGAGAACGACGCGCCCACGCGAAACACTTGGCCAAAAGAAAATCCCGTTTATCTTGCCTTTCACTAGCGATGAAATAAGTGTAGCAATAAAGCGATGCTTAAGAAGAGCAGATCTAGAGGAATCGGTATCGAAGCTTGAAATACCACCGGATACTCTACGTTGTCAGTTAGTTCGTAACCACCTGTATGACCGTCTATGTGGAACACCAAATTGCGTAATTTGCCCTTATGGCGGAGACGATGACTGCATGAGTTCAGGTACGACATACCTGATTTCTTGTAGTGTTTGCGGAGACGAATATATCGGAGAAACGGGCAGACTTTTATGTATCCACATAAAAGAACACATAGATGGTAAACGAAAATCAAAACAAGGCACGCCACTAGGGACGCATAGGATACAAAAGCATAGCGAAGATTTTGGTGTAGACGTCGCTATCATCGCACGGGAGACTAAAACACCAACGCGCAAATTTCTCGACGCTTTTTGGATAAATTCCAGAAATCAGAGAATGAATAGCAGGGAAGAATACCCTGAGATAACGCGTGAACTAACCCCGTATCTCAGAAATGATTTTTGACGTGGGGTGGTGCAGTAGTCAACCATATGCGACTCTAAGCGGCTGTTCTTCCTTGGTGGAAAACATAAAAACGGTGAGTTTTTCAGGAAGCCGGTGATGGTGCAATTATTGTCCACATTCTCGTCTTTCTGCTTGCGCTGTTGAAGCGTTTGACCTAGCAAATTACATATTAGTGTACCCTTCCAGGCTCAGGACTGAGTTATATTTGCAAGGAAGTAAAGGTGTGCTGAAAAACAACCTCGTGATTGCTGTAAAAAGGGAATATATAATGTTGATATAAATCAATACAAGAGGGAAGGTTATCCCGTGTTTAGGCAAAAGGCTATCAAAATGGGAGACATTTTTTAGACGATGCTTGCTGTACGGATGAAACTTGGTTCTAGAGATTTACTGTGAAATTACTTCATATTACCTCATAGCCAATAAATTCTAAAGGAAATTTACTAGGACTAGGCTTTCTTCTCTTCTCAGGGCAGCACATCTACAACCTTTAAGTTTCTGATAATGTCAGAGTACTCCACTTTTGTGAAATATCAGACTAGCACGATCGTTGAGAGAGAGAGGCGAAACAAAGGAGCAGAAAGGTGTGCTGCTGAACACGTTAGTCCCGAAAAGGGTAACAGCGGGTTCGATTCCCACCGCGACAGCGGTGATCCGGTGTTTTGCAAATTGTTTTGCAAATATCTCAGCATTGATGCTGTTATATTTCACATCACACCCTGACATTAAAAAAGAATAGGCAGTAGATAAAAAGTGACTACATTGTAAGGCGATTCTTTTCAACATCTTAGAACTTCAAAGGTAGACAACAAGTTGCACCCTTGCTAAAGAAAGCCCGCTTCACACTGCAGAAACGTCCAGTAGTCCATCCATGAGGAAGTTCACCAAGTGTTCCAATCTGATGGAAATATGTTGATAGACGACTCGCTTGTACAGCAGCAAGATTACCACCCACTCCTAAAACTACTGATAATGTGCACTATGGTAATCAAAAGTGAACTAACTTACCATTTATCACAGGTTGAAATATGGCAACACCGTGAAACTCTCGAACAGCGTTCTCCAAAATAAAGCCTCCGCCACTACTCATTAACATGGCGAAGATAATAGGAGACCAGCCGTCAGATAAAACCTGTGAAACAGATCTTAAAGAGAAGTAAATGAAATAAGCCTTACATAAAGGAGCCAGTATTTGATAATAAGCAATTACGAGATGGATGTGTGACCTAAATGCTAGTGCTATTTCGCAACAGTATAAATAGTGGGAGTCAGATATTAAAGTGTTAACTTAAAACAGATGCAGGATTTACCACAAAAATTCAGGCACCTCTTTCGCACCCTCGTCTCGCAAAACAAATCGAATCCAAATAGGAGCCATTGACAAAAGGACTATTATGATGACTATGTTCAATGATGATCCAGTGATGTGGGTGTCAAGAAATATGGTACCGAACATGGATAATACAGATAATGTAGTCAGATCACCTGTAAGTAGAACAAACACATGTCTAATACACCACGGGCTATGTGCATAGACTTCAATGCACAGAGAAGAAACAGCAGCCGCCTCCAACTTTAAGCCCTCATATATCAGCTAAGAGTGAAGCTTAGCGAATTAAGCAAAAATTATTAAGATTTGCAAAACTTTGTCAACATGATCTATTTTCTCTTAACAACGCTCAAATCCACCACCTCCACCGAAACTCATAAAACGTATTTTCCGCTGTTTTTCGTCGAGATACTTATTCTAACTATCCAGTAAGGTGAACAGTGGGTCCAATCTATCCTTAATATTTGCATCTATCACCTCTGCGTTGGAAATCTTGGAGATTTACAAGTTGTTTTCAGCTCCTTGTAATTTTCAGCCCTAAATATATACAAAAATGGATCTGTAAAAATTTCACGTTCACTGGAAGAGCTGGAACACAACCCGTTTTACCAAGTTTTAAACTCTTCGACTATTTTAATTTTTGGAAGATCTTCGGAAGTTATCGAAAATCCAGCACTGCCCGTTACGCGTTTAGTAAAACTTTGATTTTTCTTTGAGGATTTAGCCACATATTTTGCGCTGATACCAGCACCTCTTGCATTTGATTTGCTTCCCAGCATCTATGTTGAACGAAAGTCCTGGAAGTATTGCGTGCGGCTTCGGTTCCTACTTCAAGAGTTTTCAAAATCTCTGTGATGTCATGCAGCGGTGATCTAGCTGATGCTCTCCGCATTCCTAGGACTGTCGTTCTAATACGTTTCCAGATCTTCTTCATAGACAGTTGCTAGCTTTCGTGAATTGGAGAGAGCAAGTTGAGCACAGAGAACTCTGTACCCGGCACTGGAGCGATGGGGATGTTGGTTGGCCCCGCGTGATCGAATCAGTGGCTTGTGCGCAATGGAAGGCATCACTAGAACTTCCCAACTCCAACTCCTAAGATAAAAATACAATCAAATATCTACCAAGTGATGCTGCAATAGGAGTTGCAACATTATCTGGATTAATGTTGTACTTCCTAGAAAAAATGACGACCAGGACCATCAAAATACTAAGAATAAACGAAGCGAAACATGCCGTTGCAAGAGATGACGCACATAATAATGTAGCATGAGACAAGTCAAGCTGAAATAATAGACTAAGTTAGAGTGAAACAACGGATATAATACAGTTCTAGAAGAAACCTGTCCTTTCGGAATCCATGCTAAGGCTAGAGCAAATGAAGAAGCAAGGAAGGCGATTACAGTGGCCTGTACTTGAATCAGTGCCAAATTCGCAATTATTACTTTCCTACGTTCGGAAGAAGAATCCAAAAATCCCAAATTAGCCTAGAACTGAAAACTTGTTACATTTTAGAACAACCTAAAGCGATAAAAGAAAAAGAATTTAAATAAATCACCACCTACCAACGTTGACAATCGACTAGCAAGAGTCATTTCCAGATTTCCTTTCAGTCCCAAAAGAGCAGGGACCAAAATAAAAGTTTCTGGTACTTCTTTAAAAAGCCGCCAATTTTGTACAAGATCAAGAACGACTCCAGCGAAAACCATTCCAATACCGCCAATAGAGAAGGGAAGTACAACCTAAACTCAGGATTCCTTTCCCTTCCATCGGCAGTAAATGTTGTTTCCGTAATGAAGGAAATACTCCTCTAGATGAAGCAAAGGCACCGGCAACAAAAATATTCTAACCACAGTAAAAAAGAACATTAACAAGCTAAAACAGACTGTTAAGTCTTTAAGAAACAAACCTGACAGAACAGCAAGTAACTCGATTCTGGATTTGGATTGGGAGCATGAGAGCTACTTTCCTGTGAACCATTCGTTTCAGGAGAACACGAACGATAAGACTGACCAGGCCTAGAACGGAAAAAGGCTGTAGTGGAACTAATGAAGCCTGAATGGCAGGAACTCACTGAAAATTCAACAGAACCGGATTTTCAAAAGCTTCGTATGGGACTTCTGAGTCTACATCCATGATGAAAACGCAACGGCTTGTTACGATGTATCGGTATTAGTGACTAATGTTAATCTGAGAAATGTCGTTCTGTACGAGTGAGAAGATATGATATAGATCGTAAAAATAAAAAAGTATTACTGCACAGCATATAGCCTTACTCGCAAGTACTGAACAACACGCAATTCTTTTCACAAATATTATTAGACCGCAATAATATTTATCTTCCTAACTGACAACGAGGCCAGCGAAGCAAAGTACGACAGATAAAATTTGCAATGAACTTTCATCGACCAACAAAAAAAGCAAAAAGAACAGCACATAAAAACATCTGGAAAGACCACCAATTACTGTCTGCTTTTCTTCTTATCACCATTTGACTTTACAGCAAAAAAAGTTTCCTTATCGGCCGGTTCGATTCCATTTTCTGTGGCGAATTGGACCAAACATCGCTTCATTGCGTAAGCATCTTCTCCATCGGCGTAGTATCTTAAACATTTGTAGGTACAATTATTTATTCTACAAGGAAGGTAATCAGTACAGTGATTAGGATCATACTACCAGCAAAACAAAGGTGCTGCAGTTACCCCAACCGTGTATTATTAGTCCCATGTGGTCATATTCTGCCTTTCTTGACATTCTCCATACGAGATGACGATGGTACAACCCTGCCCCACTTCCATCTCTGTGCTCCGATGGGAATCTGGTTATGAAGATGTTATATAGGTCTGGAAGGGGCGGACATCACAGCGTTAGTTATGCCGATTATCATCAGCACGGTGCTGGTTCGATACCACCCCAGGATCACCAAGCCCCTCACCTCTCCACGATCGGCAATGTTGGCACCGGACTTGTCCTAAAAAAACACTCTCTGCAAGTGGGAACGCTGTAGCTCGGCTATCTCAGGACTCCAAAGAGAATCGGCTCGACCAGCATTCAACCATATTCATGATTAAAGGAAAACCAACAAACGGTAGTTGAAGTACCAGGTAAAAGTTGATGGATGCGAGGAGATGAAACGAGTGTGAGAAATGCTGGGACCCCCTCAGTAGATGTGAAAGATGGGTCGTACAAAATTAAGTAGAGAAAACATGTATACGTCATGAAATATATGTTTTATTCTTAGTATGCTTGTCTGGCTCTCCAAAGCTTTGACGGTCTTGGCATACATTGAATCGAAAGACTTCCTCAAGCCGTTAGATGTAATAAGAAGCTGTCCACTGCACTCTCCTAATACTTCAAGGAGTTTCGTTCTAATGTGAATATACCCACTTATGTTAAATCCTCTTTAAAACACTGCTTGCTCGCTTGGCTCTCCTTTGTACGAAATTCTACCTACCTTGATGACGATTGATGGAGTGAAGAGTTTGCAGACGATAGAAAGCAGATAGATTGTTGTCAATACCGTCTAGATCTCTCTGTACCCGCAAAAACATAGTTCTGATGTTCTTGCACTGAATACGAATTTTTGATTCTGATGTATAACATGTGAACGAAAAGGTAGAACACTGATGGGGACTAGTAGTAGGCTCTTCAGATATTCCAGTCCAATCCCAATCGGACCGAGTGTTGAACGATTCTTCACCGATGAGAGAGCATGCCAAATCTGGGTAGGGAGAACTGTTAGAGCGAGATACCGGCCTATACTATATATGTTTGGATATAGAGATGGAGTGGTTGTTGGAAAGATCAGAGTGGAAGTCGTGGATGATTTTCTCCATTGCTTTTCCGGGAGTGGTGACTGTTCGTTCTGGGGCCAGAAGGCGAACATTTTAGCCTTTTAATCAGTGAATTCTCGACTTCTCCATTACCAGCAACTATTTCTACTATTCTCTCCTTGAGTACTTTTCATCGCTTCTTAACCATTTGTGATATGAGTTGGTGATTATTCACAGAGGTGATTGAGCTCGTACAACTTCAAGTTATCCTGTTAACTCGAGTGTTTCCGGAGACACACTTCACCTTATGAGGACAATCCCGGTTCCTTTAAAAATAATATTTTTCGTGAATGTTGCTGATAATAGGATCTTCATATCTTCCCAACTTTCCTCTTAACGGTTTACCACCTCATCGTGACTAGGAGGTGTTCTTGGGTATTAGGCTGCGATGCACAGCGGGGGGACCCGCTTATCTCCCTGGTAAGGTCCCCCAGGACGAGGAGGAGTTCGGTGTTTCCATCAAGAAGCCCAGCTAAAAGTAAACCAATTCCAGGACTCGTCATCGTCCTGGTGCCAAACTAGTCGCACGGTGGTAAATCTCTCTCTTATCCACAAAGGTGGCAACTCCTTGTGATGCTTGAGGACCCGGGGCAAACTTTGGCCAGGCTAACCTCGGGACCCCACAGAACTACAGTGGGTAAACCAGCAAAACTCCGAAAAAATGGAGATTGTGCTGGGGTCCGCATAATCAGTGAGGACGGGACGTCCAAATATCCAGGTAAGTAATAGGATCTTCCAAAAACCAACTTGGTGTTCTTAACAAATTCCAATTTATGACGATCTGTGATTTTGTTTCTTGAATTTTGCAGCATTCTTTCTCTTCAACAAAAAAAAGGAATCATATACATATTCACATCATACTTTACCGTAAAAAATCATGGTAGAAAGAAAATAAAAAGTTAATAAAAACGAATCAAATTTGAAACAGCTGATTGCTCGATCCTATGCAGAGCCTTAGTACGGCGAAGTCGGTTAGATAAAAAAAAAACCCTCGATTCGTTATGGTATAGCCCGTTTCGCTGTGGTACTCCACTTTGGGATAATTTCTCGAATTTGCGCGTGCGATTCAATGTCATCAGAGGAATTTGTCTTCTTCACAAGTCTTTAGTTAACTGCTGATCGAGTTGATCCTCTTTAGAACTCCAACACAGCTCCGATAAACTGCCCTCACGTCTTTACAACGGGGCAATCGCTAACTTTGCAGGTCGATGGAAGCTTTCCGGAGACAGATCTAGTTCCATCTGCAGATCACAGAGGAATGGAGACTTGATGTCCTGCAGGCGGGATCGAACCAACTTCTGTGCATTTTTAGGGCACCTCTTACTACGCTACGCTAGACATGCTCCAGGTATGATCCAGGTTGTTATTTTTTCCCCAGAGAAAGACAGCCAAAAAGTGATTTTCTTCGTATTTTTGTTGAGCAAACGCGAGGTGTTACTATTCTTTGTTCACGATTAAGCTGACGTTTCGGTAAGGTATAACGGTATAATGTCTGAAGTAATTATACTTCCACGTGATTTCTGTGCGGTTGGTCTCTACGTGACATACTTAGTGGAAACCTCATAGAAAGCGGCACTGAAGAAGGCGAAATCCGCCGAAACGTTAGCTTAATCGTGAACAAAGAATAGTAACACCTCGCGTTTGCTCAACAAAAATACGAAGAAAATCACTTGATCAATGCCGAGGTTAATAGAAAGTCGGTCGTGGCAGTTACAGCCAAAAAGATCTAGCTTATTACGAACGTGGCAAGCGCGCGTAATATTCTTTAACTTAAGCAATTGGAATAACATAAGCGGTTTACGTACTTTGGTTCCACTTCACTGGCGGTAAATTTAAGCGTGTTTTGGTAGAGGTTTAATGCAGCTCTGTTGCTTACTCGGACGTGAAGGGAGACATAACGAGCGTTGAAAGTTTCAATCATAGCTCGTGCAGTTTGGTCCATGAGTTTTTGAGCGAGACCTAAAATTTACAGCATATGTATTACAGCGCATATATAATATATGTACGTATGCACACAAATACACATGTTTAATACTACGTACATACACATATACATATATGTGTATATACATGTACGTAGTATTAAACAGCGTATATAACTAGTATGTATGTATGTATGTATGTACGTATGTATGCATGTATGTATATACGTGTTGTATGTATGTATGTATGGTATGCATGCATGTATGCATGTATGTATGTATGTGTGTATGGTATGTATGCATGTATATGTGTATGTACGTATGTATATAGGTATGTTGTCTGTATGCGTGTATGGTATGTACGCATGTATATGTGTATGTATGTATGCAAATATATGTGTATGTACGTATGTATGTATGTATTCATGCATGTATATGTATGTATGTATTTATGTAATGCATGTATGTATGTATGTATGCTTGTACGTATGCATGTATGTATGCTTGTATGTATGGTGTGTATGTATGTACGTATGTATGCATGTATGTATATATGTACGTTGTATGTATGCATGTATGTATGTGTGTATGTATGTATGTATGTACGTATGTAATGTATATATATATATATATATATATATATATACGACAGGTATATTTTACAATGAAATTGACCGTCTGAGATAAATTTCGTAAACGATCCCACACACTCAACAACTGTTTAATAACCATTTTGAAGACAGAACGTTAATTTCAAAATAACTTTACTAATATCACTCTTGATTATTTGTAGGAATTACCTTGTAGCAACAAAACCGCTAAAATTGTTCGTGCTATTTCAAAGTTTTAAACGAAAAAGAGTACGAGCGTCCGTATTACCCTAAATAATTGCTACATTTACTTCTTCTCCACACCTTCATCGAGCACTTCAGAAATTTTCAGGTAATTTTAGGAAAGATTCCAAATAGCTTGGCTCTTTAAGTGGCAGTTTGAATTCAAAGAACGTAATGTTGACCTCTTACGAAGTCTCTAAAGGCATTAGTGTATCCCACCCAATTCTTCATAGTGAAACATTGTGACTCCAACACCAAGAGCCACCGACATCCAGGTAGGAAACCAGCTCCAGGGTGGCAAACCATTCGCCCATTAATAAGCATCTGCAACTGCTCGCAATGTGGGATAAAGAACACTTTAGCAAAGCAGTCTCATGGCTCAAAGTGAAAAATTTACTTATCCAGAGATGCATCAAATCCTATACGAGGAAAGCATTCTTGACGAGTCTCGTTACCAACATGGATGCCAAATAAATGAATGATCCGACCGACAACAACGTAGTGCTCGATGGAAGATTTGACTAAAAAATACTGCCCAATAGGCCACTTTTTTAGCCAAGATGTTCGGATCTCTATGAACACTTAGTTTCTCACGCACGGTCACCACGTAGAAGGAATGCGATCGAATAAATCTTCGCAATTACGGACCTACTTGCTTCATCAGTACCCTTTACAAGCTCTTCCGAAAGATTCACGCATATCAAGATTTTTGTATGGAGCTTAACCAGTTGAAGAAACAGAAATCGTAGGAAAAATCTGTGATATGAGTCATAACAAAACCGCACATAGTTTACATAAAATTTACGAAAAGTACCACTTGCCCTTTTTCCCAACCTTCGTTAAGAATGAAGTTTTAAAACTGGCAACCATATCACCTAAACTGTTCCATGTTAATAGAACGATGGGTATAAAATCGATTGGGGTGAAGACGGCATGCGCCACCACCATTTCAAAAAGTGCCAGTGAAGAAGAGAAGTTCTTGAAGAGCTCATCAAAGAAGAGAAAACGATAGAACTGCGAATTAATCGTAGGAAAACCGAGTTCTGTGGAAAAACCGTGCTGCGATAAAAACAAGACGAAATGTACCTGCTTACCTGTTCCATTCAATGGTCGTACGAACTCTGAAATGCAGATGAAAGGTGGACTAACACCTCGACCACGTTGGAAACATCATACTCCAACAACAGAGTATTTGAAAAAAAAATTTAGCTAGTACACACAAAAATTCGAACCACACTGTTTAGAGTGTCCAAAAATAGTCGGCGTTAACAATCCCTAGAAATGCATTCCGAAGGTGAGCGTCTCTTGTGATAAAAACTGACTTCTTTGCTAACCATCTAAAATGTGTGATTTTGGCCAAAAATTACAACCTTCATCGTAGTAACATGAGAGGTGAAGTTGAACACAACGGACGGTATCCTGAGGCTAACCTGATCTTCTGGTAACAGTCGATGTTTCCAGTTTAAGATACTTAAATTGATGCCATACCAGATTTTAAGCCACGCAGAATTTTTTGAGTGGTACACGCATTTAACAATTCACATTGGTGACCACAATGATTGTTCCAAACTTTTGGGGTTAACGTTTATATACACATTTACACACTTGTGTACTGGAGAGCTCCGGCATTCTTTCCTCTTGCTCCTCTGTCACTCAAGCCACACTAACGAGATGGTCAGCTTCGTATATGGGCTCAGATATTGTTTTAGTATTTATGTTCTCTACTCTGCTGACGCGCCGATTAACCGAAAACTATTTAGAAGCTTTAAATATGTAGATGTGCAAACAGTGCAAGGTAGCATAGATATCTACAATATTACGTTACTGCTAAATTTGGTCGCAGTTGCTACAGACAATACGTAATCCTAAAAATAGTATGGATCAACAAGCCTCCCGTCCCCACAGAGTGGAGGAATTGGTACCAAACTTGTCTGCGCCTAACTTACTCGCTCACAGTTAGGTGAGAACGCTATGGTACAGAAATCCTATAACTAGAGATAGGATCGACTCGACTATCATTTAACGATATTCGTGAGGAAGACGACAATCCTCAAGTAGCAACCAAACTCACGAGTGAAAAGCTCGAAGACCTTGGTGGCTGGTAGGCGCAAGGAAACGGATGAAACACAAGGTGCGTTGGAATTCTCATAGTAGATGTGAGGATGGGCCGTGCAAATAGGAAAATAAAAAGTCTCAAGATTTATAAACGAGGAGGTGATATAGCGATGTGACGATAGCAGCAGCACTCTGTCATTTTAATACAGAGTTGCACAAATCTCGGACAAATAGGGACATACTAAGGAAACAGTAACTATTCACCGAACAGTAAAAGTAAAAGCATTTGATGGAAGCGATCGTTTTACAAACTCTCGTTACACTATGATCTCATTGGAAAAAAAAACTGTGGAAATTAACCATAGCTGGAAAACCGTAAAAGTGACCAACATTATGAACTTGAACAAGAAAGAAACATACCAAGCCTCCTGTATGACCGTTTTACTGCCAATGACGTTATGTGTCCGTGGGGTTCCTCATCAGGGTCTTCCTCCATTTTCGCGAGTACGTATCCAACAACATTTCCCTGAACACAGAGACGGGAAGAATCGAAACGTAATCAAAGCACAGAGTATATTGCAAAACGTTTCAATGATTGGGGGAACATGTAATGTGAACGAACCCCAAAGATACACCAAATTCTCAAGCAAGGAACATCAAGCTTAATAACAATCCTTCAATGAAAATTCTACCTAAGAAAAAGGAAGAAAGGTGACCTTATCATGGTTTCTCGTGTTTAAGAATGGTTAACAGCTGTAAAGTTTCAATAACCAGCACCTTTATAACCTAGAGAGGGGAAACGAGATTGAAACTATCACTAATCGGCTACATGAATTCTCGTCCATATCAATTATTTGATTAACTTACATACCTGAACGGCCCCTACTCACTGGTTATGCAGGCCCCAGCAAAATTTCCATTTTGTGAGAGCTTTACTGTCTTAGCTACTGCGGTTCCCTGGAGTCTCGGGGTCACCACAGCCAAAGTCTGCTCCAGGGCGGCACCACCAATGGCAGTCGTCGCCCTTGTGGATTACAGGGAGATTTCCCACCATGCGACGAGTTTGATCCCAAGATGGCGATGGATACTGATATAGGTTTACTCCCAACCAGGCTTCCTGATGGTAACGACAGACTCCTCATCAGGTTGGGAAAGGATGTCGGGTAAAAAAGTTACACCTGCTGTACATCGTAGACCGACACCCAGGAACACCTTGCCACGATGAGGCGGCAAACCGTTGAGAGCTATTTGACTAACTACATATCTTTAACTAAAAAAAAACTGAAATATGCATACATCCGTTCAGAAACTAGTTCAGCATAAACTGTTGTTATTGTTAATAGATTTAAGGCACGAAAGAATCTTCTCTTCAATACAGGCGTTTTCTAATCAACAGATCTGAATAAATCACATCCACAGACATATCCATGTGATTTTTTGCCTAACACACTCGCGAGTGTGCTAGTTCTTCGATAAAAGGATAAAGCTCTGCGAGTTGACCAATCACTAAGGGATGCGCCATCCATTCGACTTCATTAAGCATTTGGGGGTGAATAAATGTATATGTGGCCTTTACAATGAGTCACCATGGCCCACCGATGTATCGAGCCAGTGCTGCTATTCTCCCAGACAGGTCTGGTACCAATTTGACGGCCCCGGAAGGATGGAAAGCTGGTGAGCCAGGGGCACGGGGATCGATCTCATGTGCATTGTACGGCGCCTCGGGCCACTGCGCTACACTCGCCCTTACTCGTAAGTCGATATATCCTCGAGAACACTAGTTGAGATTTGTTAGTCGAAAAAATTAAATTTCGAAACAAAAATCTGTGTTTCGACAGGTTAGCGGAAAAATCGGGAATATTTCATGGATACAATCTGAGGAGGAACCGAACCATAGCAAAAACAGATGGTAAGCATCTCCAAATCTCAAACCACCATTCGATTAGGACACTGACCCACCAGAAACGTTAAAGAAATGTAGATCCATTCCTCTAGAAGACTAGCCACTAGTTCCCTGATTTTCCTAAGGAACGTGTAGGTGGTCCATCGACGATTAGATTGTAGATCATCGATGTGCAGATACATAGTTAAATCACCCCACTTTGTTTCAAATGTATACAAAAGTAAATCGAAACCTTGTGGTCCTCTGCAACATAGGACAACTGTGGCCACGAGAGTGCATGGTAGAAGTAGTACTTCATCTGGTAGTTTTCAGGAAGACACAAAAGATTGGCATGCTGCGTGTTGATGAGATCATCCGGTCTCGCACAGCGAATATTCATCTTCAGGATGGAATTTCTGAAAGTCAGACTCATTTAACATACGTAAAAATTAATTTTACTAAGATAAGGGGACATTCCACGGCACAACGTGGACAATTCAATCCATGGAATATTAAACGAGGGGAGGAGCTGGTCTCAAAACGAATTCATGAAACCGGTGCTTTGGCAGTTTGTTTAGGCCGTCATGATTTTCGCGATGCTTTCAAGCACCTTCATTCACTCATTCGTTTTTAAATGTTTTCCAGTTAGTATCGAGAGTATGCCAGTTAACGTAATTATACTAATTGCCTGCGCGTGTGGCACAATGGTCGGAGGCGCCCTGCAATACGCATCGAATCGATCTCCGCGACTGGACTCCCTAAGCCTTCCATCCCTCCGGGTCGGCAAATTGGCACCAGACTTGTCTAGGAAGATAGCAGCACTGGCACGATGCATTGGCAAGCCACCACGAGTCATTGCAATGGCCAGTTATGCATTCAGTCACATCCAACGGTGGTTAGTGAAGTCGAATGCATGGCTCATTCCTTAGGCATTGATCAACGCCACGAGCTTCATCCTTTTATCCTTTTGCTTGTCTGTTATATTCGAGTGATTCACAATGGCTAGCTATCTTCCTCGAAAATACTCACAAATAGCTATTCTTGCTGTTTCTGAAGTAACTGAAATGTTAAGTAATCACTATAACATGTACACGTTGCCTTTAACACTTTTTGTTTTCTAGGAACGATGGGTTTTGACGGTCATGGAAGAGGTCGTGGAGGTAACTACCTTTTTGTTTTGAAGTGTTTTCTCCTTGATTTCTCTCGTTCCCTTCTTCCATATCGATCCCTATGTCTTTGAGGATTCCGCGGGTCTCATCGCGGAGGAGAACGAGGGAAATCGCTAGGATTCAAGTCACGAGGTGGTTCACCCGGAGGTGGCTTTAGAGGTAACTGCAAAGTTGTTCAATTAGTGCGTAGTACATTTCTTGTATTGACGCAATACTTGTTGTTCAGGTCGTGGCGGCAGTTCAGGTGGACGTGACTTTTCCTCATCAGCTGAGAGTAGGAAAGGTATTTGGCTCGTTATTCATAATTATCGTACAATTGAGACGTATTGTTTATTACCTTTTAGGAAGTAGTTGGGGTCGTGACTCTATGGTTAAGAGGCACGGTGGTTCCACATCAAGTGCACATGGTGGTCGAGGAAATTTCACCCCTCGTGGAGGCGGAGGTGGTTGGAGTCCTCGTAGAGGACGAGGAGGTTTTAGTTCTTTGAAAAGTTGAGATAGTTCGAGGAGAACGTCGTGTCTTTTCAGAATTCAGAGGCTCAGGGAGAGGTACTCGTGGTTCTTTTAGCGAAAAGCGTAGAACTTTCCACAATGAGGAAGATGAATCAAACACTGGTATATGAGACCTACTGTAAACCTTTTCATAAGATGACTTGGCAATCTGTTTCTTTCTGAGGCAGTTTGGGCTTGAATTAGTGAAAAATCATTCTAAACAGAGTGTGTGAGCCCTCGTTCTGCTGTTGTTTCGTACACCCTGTGTAAAAGGTTAAGAAATTGCACTGGAATAGTTGTAGATTTGTATCTAAAAGAAGGAAAGAAACTCATGAGGGTTTTAACTTATCTGAAGGAGTAGAAAATGTGCTCCGTTTTGATTTAGCCATCCACTGAGAGTTGCATATCTCGGCCTTTGTCAATGGATTTCGTTCTATCGGAACGATGTGTTCTAGAGAAAGTCACTAGAGATTTCTGTTATAGTGTTATCAGCTATGATACGTTTTTAGATGTTGGCAAGAACAAGAAGTCGTTCTCTGCTACAAGTACACCAGTTAACACCAAGAAACAAAACGCGGTTTGTATAGTTGCCACTATTAAGCTCTAGTGTATGCGTTTTTCACTGACGAACTTTTTAGAGTTTTCGGACCACAAATAAGCGTCGATTCGATGATGAAGATGAGGACAGCGCTCCGTTAAGTGGGAAAAAGACAAATGGGAAGACTGTTGAGGTTAGTTTTCTTCTGTTTCCGCCTATTAATGTATGAATAGTAGGGTTTAAGACGAAGTATGAAGAAGAAACCGACAGCGAAGATCAGGATGAGGAGTATGATGAAGACGAGGATTATGAAGTGGACAATGAGGACGAAGAAAGTGGTGGTAGTTGGTTATTCTTGTTATTCTACTTTTGAAGCATGAAAAATGATTTTATGTCCCGTTATAGCTGTTATTGTTACGCTTTTTTAATTATTCAAGTTCTAATTGTTTTTATTCTGTGTTCTGCTTCTGATTGAAATTGTTCCATATACGGTCTCCCTCTTTCGGTGCACAATGTCTGCATAACTTCAATGAAGCTGAGATAGGTTAAGATTGTGATTGTAACTATAGCCTCGGATGAGCTGGGTTCAATGCCGATTTGGGCTCCCCAGATCAATCCCGTTGACGGATGATTGCTGATGGCAAAAGTTCGATAGAACTAGCTGAGAGACAGGCGGAACGAAGGACCCGTATGGTTTGGTGATGAGCGCGTTACTCCCCGGAAAGGACAATAGCGCGTTCGCTCCCCACCGCAGACACCTGCGGTCCGGAGTTTTGCAAATGTCTTAGCTTCATTGAGGTTATATTTCGCAATATACCCTACCATTAAAAAGAATAGGCAGTTAATAAAAAGGTTAAGAATGTCTGCATAGTTACACAATTTTTGAATAGTCGCCCGGCTATAATTTATCGACGTTCTTTTTAAGAGGACGAGAAGCCTACAGTTTCTGCGGAAAAACTGGTGACACCACAAGCAAAGGGATCACGGGCCGTGAAGAAAAATGTGGTGAAAGATTCTGACAGTGAAGATGAAGACGACGGCGAAGATGAAGAAATGAGCGATGAAGAGGACGACGTTGAAGTACAAAATGTCACTGGAAAAGGTAAACGTCCCCAATAATTCGTTGTCTTTGGCGTTCGAAATTTAGATGTAAAAACGAGAAAACTTTTAGCTACACCGAAAAAGGATAACGCCAAAAGAAGCAGTTTGAAATCGTTTGATTCTGATGACGACGATGAAGAATACGATGAAGATGAGGAGGTGGTCATGATTAAAATGAGTTCTTGCGTAGTATATTTGTTGGAAAAAAGATCTGTGCTTCCATATTTTACTATGGTTGTTTAGGACGAGGAAGATGATGAAGACAGCGAAGAGGATGAAGAACAGGTTGAGCCCTTAATGAAAACACCGGCCCTGAAGCAAAATGAGAAAGAAACGAAAAGTTCGCTCAAGAGTGGCAAAGGAACAGATGTTAAGAAATCCGTTAGTGTCTCTGAAGCTGCGACATCAGCTACCCCAGCAAAAAAATTACCAGTGACACCTCATCCGCAAAAGAAAGTTTTGTCAGTTAAAGAAACTCCAAAGTCTACCAAAGAAACTCCGAAGACAAAATTAAACTTTGATGATGATAGTAGTGATGAAGAAGACGAGGAGCTCGATGAGGGTGCTGTGGAAGATGAAGATGACGACGAGCAAGAAGGCGGCGACGAGAATGAAGAAGAAGGCGATGACTTGTGTGAGGAAGACGACGAAGACGTGGACGAAGAAGAGGTATGTTTATGTTTATGTTTGTTGTTTGTTATGTTTACGATATGTTTAAGTTCGCATCAAAGGGTTTATTTCGGTAAGCGTGATTTAGTACCCTTCGATTTCTTATAGTGGTGTAATGCCTCACTATCTGCACATTCATCAGGAGGCATCTTTGATTGAAAGCAGAAGGGAAAAATCTTGTCTGAAGTTTTGTTCTACAAGCTTGGAAAGAAAAATACATTTTTTAGAACTCGTATATAATGCTGAGATATTTGCAAAACTCCGGGCCGCAGGGTATGGGGTGGAGAACGAACGCGCGCTATTGTCCTTTCCGGGGAGTAGCGCACTTCACCACCACACCATTCGGGCCCTTCGTTTTGCTGTCTTTCAGTTAGTTCTATTAATCGTTTGCCATCAGCAAATAAAAGGGTTAGGATTGTGATTCAAACTAAGCCTCAGCTTAACTGGGTTCAATGCCGATTTGGGCTCCCCAGATCAATCTCGTTGACGGGTGATTGTTGATGGTGAAAGATTAATAGAACTAGCTGAGAGACAGGCAAAACGAAGGACCCGGATGGTGTGGTGGTGAACTGCGCTACTCCCCGGAAGGGACAATTGCGCGCGTTCGTTCCCCACCGCATACACCTGCGGTCCGGAGTTTTGCAAATATCTCAGCATTGTATACGAGTTATATTCCGCAACATACTCTGCCATTAAAAAGAAAAAGGCAGTAAATAAAAGGGTTAGGACATTTTTTAGATTTAGATGGGATTTAAGATTAGGGAGGATTTAGATGGTTTCTTAGTGTTCACCACTTTTGGACGCATGTGGTACTTTTCTGAGTTTTCCACATAGGAGAAACAAATCTGCTTAGTGTTTTTTTGATAAATGAAGAAGGACAAAGTTTTTCGACTTAGCAAGTTATATCTTTCAGGCTGCTGTTTCATGAGGATTGTTTTATTATAAAAATCTCTTTCTATTGTTGTTTGTAATTGTACTAATCTGTAGTATTTATCAGGAAGAACAAACCTCAAAACATTTGGAAACGAAGAGCACCAGCATGAGAAAGCAGGCAAGTCATCTTTTTTTAACATAATATCTGTACCGTATCATACTTTAATTTGTTCTAGGTCCTAAGTAACGAGCATCCTGCTCAAGGTAACAAGAAGAAAGTAGCCACTAGCAACCTTAGTGCTCCTATAAATAAAGCACAACCTGGTCAGAGTATTAAGAAGACTGCTGTTGATGACCGAACAGTAGTTAAGAAAGGAGAACCTGGTCATAATGCTAAGAAGAAAAGTGCAGCTGCTGACCATAGTGCGAATGTAAAGAAAGGGGATCTCGGTGAAGATAATAAAAAGAAGGCTACTAATGATGGTCGTGCAGCAGTTGCAAATAAAGAACAATGTATTGGTATTAAGAGGAAAGCTATCGTTGACGAACGTGCTGCGGTTCTAAGTACCGAACAATCTGGTCAAGCTGTAAAGAAGAAAGCTGCTGGAGATGAACGTGCTGCTGTTCCAAGTAGTGACCATTCTAGTAAAGGAATCAAGAAGAAGATTGGTGGTGACAACCGTGCTAAGGTTGTAAATAAGGAGCAACAAAATCAAGCTATTAAGAAGAAGAATACTGTTGATCACATTACTGCAGTTGTAGCTGACGAGAATGCTGGTCACGGTATTAAAAGGAAGGCAACTGTTGACGATTTTGCTCCAAAGCGTGCCAAGGTTAGGTAGAACATTTTTTATTGCTATCGTTCCTTCTATAGTTTACTTCCAAACGTAAAGGATTTTGCTCACTTGAAGACAAGAATTACCACAGATTTATGCATATATAAAACTGCTAGATCTTTATTTAGAATGCAGAAGCCATTCATGAAGATCAGATTCTCTTAGCTACTTGGGGTTTTTACGGAAGTGTTAGCTGTTTCCTTTTTTTTTGAGTAAAGAAGTATATCGTAGCATTTCCTATTTGAATACTTGGACGGTCTGCCCTCACTGGTTTTGCGGGCCTCTCCATTATTTTTCGGAGCTTTGGTCCTTTAGCCATGTTGATTCCCTAGAGTCTCAAGGTTACCCAAACCAAAGTGCGTCCAGGTTGTAACCACCAAAGGGAGTCGTCTATCTTGTGGGCCAGAGAAATTATCCACCATGCGACTAGTTTCATACCAGGACGCTGGTGTATCCTGATGCTGGTCTACTATTAGCTGGGCTTCCTGGTGGAAACTCCGGACTTCTTCTCATCTTGGGAGACCATGTCAGGAGGATGAATCCCACCTTGTACATCGCAGCTGTACACCCGGGAGCACTTCTCAGCTACAATGAGGCGTTAAACCGTCGGGGGGTTTATTTTCTCTTTACATGACATTGCTTATTACGTTCCAATACTTTTAAGCTAAACTTGTCAGTTTTCGTGGATTACATTAGTTTAACTGTATAAGACTATTGTTGAAGTATCATTTCAGCTCGATGAAGATTTTATTATAAATGAGGAAAACAAGCGACGTCAAGAAAGGGATGATCGGTCACTTTTCATTAAAGGTTTTCCTAAGAACACAAAGGTTATGCTGTAGCTTTCAATCTTTCTATAACCTAATATTGTATGCTTTAAGGCTTATGAAACTTGCTAAAGTTGCCGGAGGCTTACCATTACTACTCTTTTTTTTTTGTTAATTGGGTCAGTAGTTTTCCATTAATGGTTTAATTTCATAGACAAAAGAATTAGAAGATCTTCATCCTGATATTGAATCAGTGCGTCATCGAAAAGGCTCTTCATTTGCATGGATTGTGTTTAGGAACGAAACATCCTGCAATAAGGTGAGTGTACAATAAGAGGATAACAACAGGTGGCAGGATTTCCCATGGGATTCTTTCTATATTTCTAGGCTCACGACTCGTTGTCTACCGCGAAAGTGGGTGGGAAAAAGGTGAAAGTAGATTTTTGCGGATCTAAATCTACGAAAAAGCCACAGAAATCTAAAGGTTTGTTTTAAGTTATTCTATTCATTTGTAGTACAGATGTTTAATGACAAATATTATCAGATCATTATGAAGCATTGTTTGCTTCCATTCAGGAATTTAGGAGCCCATATCTCTTCGTTGTCGTCGTAGTTCATGCATAGCGCTTCTAACAGACATAATATTATCTTTGGTTTTAGTTTACTGAAGATTGTTTATACTAAACCTATGCACTAAAAAGAAATCTGTTATTCTTTGTAACAAAATGGGTAGAGTAGAAAGCATTAAAGTGCCGACAGAAATTGTTGGGCTGTCTAGTGTGACGCTGAAGAGTATTCGTGTTATGAGATTATCACTAAGTCAGTGTTACAGTAAGGAATTTTCTCTTGCTTTTTACCAATGCGTTCTTGCGTGAAACGACGTATGAACTCTTCAGAGCATGTGCCAGTGAATCCTTTGGAACTATTCATAAACGGCATACCACCACAGGTTAATAAAGACGATATCAAGAATGTTTTCCGCGCAGCTATCTCTATTCATATTCCGAATGCACGGGCTCATGAAATCAGGTTAATTCCCTAGTAATTTGGTCAGTACTTTTTTTTCGAGTTCAAACAAAATTTGAGAATAATTTTTAGGCGTGCATTTGTGCTGTTTTCCACTGAAGATGATGCAAAAGCAGCGTTTGACAAAGGCAGGGGCTTGAAACTTGGTGGACGATCTGTAGAAGTGTTTTACGCCCGTTTGCGCAAAAATGTTACGTCACCTTCGGAGGTGAAACCAAGCAAAGTTAGTTAACACGTAATCAAATACGATGTCTTTACCAATTGTTTAAAATATCTGTGATTCAATAGGACTTGGATACGAAAAAAGTCCATGCGAGCAATAAAGCGGTGGCATCGAAAGTTGTTGAAAATGAGAGTGATAGTGACGACGAGGAAGTAGAATCCAGCGACGAGGGAATCGAAGAAGTCGACGAACAGCAACAGAAAAAAGTGACTGTAAAGAAGGTGATTGCTTGTACAGTTGTTCTCAATAAAGCACAAGTAAGAATGGTATTATACTAATAATTGTATACTGTTCTCATCTCCCAACGGTTTACCGCCTCTTTGTGGCTAGGTGTTCCTGGGTGTCGAACTGCGATGTACAGCGGGAGGATTCATCCCCTGGCAGTGCTTCCCAAGCTGGGAAGGAGTCCGACGTTTCCATCAGAAAGCATAGCCAACCATTACCAGCATCCACCACTATCCTTGTATCAAGCTAGTTGCATGGTGGAAAATCGCTCTCTGATCCACAAAGGCAGCGACTGCCTGAAGTAGTGACGACCTGGGGCAGACTTTGGCTTGGCTGAACTCGGTACTCCAGAAAAAAGGAAAAGTAGCTAAACCAGCAAAACTTCAAAAAATGGAGGTCATGCTGGAGCACGCATAACCAGTGAGGACGGACCGTCCAGGTATCGTTATCACTACTTTTTTTTGCTAACTTACATTTTATGCTTGCACTGTGTTAAATAAATCCTTCGCCATTATTTCTAAGCTCTCTAACAACCACAAACGTTTAGACGAAAATAGATTTTCTATGAAGTGACGAGTATTCCTGAAAGAGAATACTTCACGTGGTGAAAATTACTTTAGATGGTGTGCAGTAATACCTACATTTTTTCTTTTTGTTAGAAACTTGAACTTCAGTCGGACAATGAAGATAATGAAGGCAAGGAGGATGAGGATGATAACGATGACGATGATTATGTTGATGATGAAGAAGAAGATGATGATGAAGATGAAGATGAAGATGAAGATGACGATGAATAAAACTGGCCCTCTTTTGGAATCATATCTTTCTTCATAAGTCTTCCTTGTTTATCCTGTTATGTTGCAACCGTTGTTTGTTCACTTTGATACTTGTTGATGTTATGCCGTTTATGTATTTAAGGTCACGTGAAGTGTTAGTTTCCTTTATTAACAATGATTGGACAGTTGTTTCTATTGTTGTTGTTCTTGAATCCCACACAATGTTGTTGAATGTTTTTCTTTTATTTCAAAAGACTGAAACACTGACGAATTTCCCGTGTAGCTTGAATATGGGGATATTAGTTACGTTCCTCGGCCACTTGTCGTGGGCCTGCTCTTTGTGCATGTCCTTGTATTTTGCATTATTTCTGCGCTGTTTTTAGGAACGTCTTCGGGACGTTGTTGTTGAACGTGTTAGTGGACAAAACACAATAGTTGCTAAGCTAACCATTATATCCCGCATTCCTGCAAAAGGAACCGTGCGACCAAAGAAGAACGATTTAAAACCAAAAAACACGCCAGTGATACAGGAAGACCAGTGGTCCTTGAACATAAGATCGGTTAAGGTGGGTGCTACAGAAAAGATGACTTAGAGGATGGTCGTCAACTATCCAGTGGGGATTTTGTAGAATCTGAGTTCCGTTGAACGATCGTGTAGCTTCTATCTGCTGAATCCATCCATCATCAGATTGATGCACGCAGATTTTTGAGTGGTGAAAACACTGACTTTCTACATTGGCAGCTTCGCACGAGTGTTTCTAAAAGATAGGTATGCATTTACCTTTTACGACTCCTAAGCAATTTGTAACATGCGAATTGTCAAGTCGGCTACAGACCCGGTTCCTTGAAGAATGAATACAGAGATTTCTCATCAGCTGGAGCGGTTGTGAATATGACGTGCTTGTTGGGGGGACTGTGCTCTATCTCTCTATGGATTTGAATGACATCCGTTATTTGCAGCTTCTGTTGTTTCTACTTCGATAATTTTATATCCTAACGCTCCATACAAACCACAACGATTGAAATTAAGTAAGAATTAAGAGTTACGGGTCAAACCATCTAGCAATGAACTTCTCCCAAAAAGTTTTGTAAGTGGACAAAGTGCCTTTTTGGACTCACCCTCGATTAGCTGTCGAATGAGAACACTATCTTTGTCACAGTACTCATAAGTAATATGTGTATATATATATATACTTGTTTATTTGTTTGTCTACTTATTTATCTTGTTTTGTACACCCATCTTTCACATCCACTGCGCGGATTCCAGCACTTCTCGCATTCGATTCGTTTCCTCGCATTTATCATCCTCGGAGATCTCCCAACTTTTTACGTGTGTCATGGGGCGCTGCTTGAGGGTTTCCCTTTCGTCGTTGTTGAATATTGGTCGAGATTGATTATTCCTGGAGTCCTGGGATAGCCGGGCTAGAGCGCTTCCACTTGGATTGCAGATAGTGAACCTTGCCGAGACGTCTGTCACCAATTTCGCGATCCTGGAGGAATAAGAGACTTCGTGAGCTCGGAGTGGGATCGAACCAGAATGGTGCTCGTGATGGTCGGTATCACTACCACTGTGCATTCCGCTCTATGTATATATATATATATATATAGTGTGTTTAAAAAAAAAAGTTTTGGGACCTACTGAATTCAGAATGGGCACCATTGTGGCCACTATAGTATGCACACGAGCCGTTATGGGTTATTCGATGGACAGCGACTCAAACCGCTTTGTCCATTTTCCTGATTGTAGTCGAATCATTCGTGATTTTATGTATCCTTACAATAATCTTGAACGAATCACAGATTATCATGAAAAACGTTACCAAGCAGTGGAAGTCCTCGTCTAGCCAAGGTCCTAAAGAGTAGATACGCGAAGGTGCTTGCTAGCAAGCTATACTGAGGGATGGGTGCAAAGCGAGCTTTCATTCAGCCAGTAGTGAAAAGGACTTCATTCTTTGACGTATGGTGTGAGAAAGAACATCTTCCGAAGATGCTGAACCTTCTTAATTGTTTTTCTCATGTATATTTTTTCTCATATTCGCTGTGCTCTGGATTAGTTTACATGAAAAATGTGAAGAAATTTCAAGATTGATAGGTCTGAGGTGGCATATAATCAAATTCCATCATGGTTTAGCGGGAGGAGGAAGCAACTTAAGAACTGCCCGCTCATTGTGAATTCCAGAGTAAAAAATTCGGTTGGACGACACTTTAGAGAATCCTGTACTTCCCAAAATGGAGATTTTGACAATGGATTTTGAACATTCGGACGTGATCTGGTCCGGTGCACAAGGCCTGTGTATGTTTCACGCTCGATGCACAGTTGTTAATATGATTACTCATATGAAATGCATCCGATTTCGTCAGATCTCAATCCTCTTAACTTTTCCATCTTGTCAGTCCTTGGAAAAGAAGCATGTGTCAAGGAACGCGCTGTCCACGATAATCAAGTGTGCCTTACATCCTCATGGTCGTATCGCCACAGAGACTCAATTCGGTCGTATTTTAGAGAATATAAATTGCGCAGTTTGGAAAACGAATGGGTTTTATTATACTTATCGATGGGCGCGTGTAGAGCATTGGTTAGAAATGCAGTGCAAGAAGTGACATCGTTACTGGTAATCACCACACTGCTTCCACCACGAGGCCTGCGACTGCTTTGAAGAGTGCTGAGACGACGCAGTTGATCCATGCCTACAAGTGCACAGAGTGGGTTTGTGTCCATTGTAAATCCCAATAGTGCTGGCTAGTCTAATACTTCTTGGTTACTCAGTGGAGCGCGCGTTGCTTCGATGACCAGTCGTAAATTAACCAAACCCTTTATAGCCTTCCGGCGTTAGTAAATTTCTACCAGACTTGTCTGTGAGGATACGAACCCTCACTTAATACATCGGTAGGGCCCCAAGAGTCACTGAATAGGCCAAATATGCGTTTAATCAGTTCTGCGATGGTTAATGGAGTAGAGTGTCTGTGAACATGTAACTGGTATCAAAAAAACCGAAAAGGAAAACGTATTACGGTAAAATATGTTGGTCAATTGCTCAAGTCATACAAGTATGCGCATCCACTCAACGTGCTACCACAGATTATTTTTGATTTCTGGACTTAGCTCATGTTTGAAGGACTGCTCTGATCGTTTTTTCCAAACCGATCCGTCAAGATTCTGGTTCTGAGCGTTTCCTGATTCCGTCGGAATTGTTTGAACAGGCGGAAAACCAGTGCAGTGACCAATTGATTTTTTTCTCTTGTACTGTTGAGCTGATGTTGTTCAGTACAACAAATGCACCAAAACAAAGTAGTTAAATAACGAAGTTGTTTTGTTCTTGTATGATCTCTAAATCACGAAACAAGGCTCTGCTCTTGCTGTAAACGTTCCCATTTCCCAGATGTTTGTCGCTTTAAGTGCTACTCTTTGTAACTTCGTTTCGACAATGGCTGGTTTTAAGACGTTGTCCATTCAAAAACGTCCGATTCCTTGTATTATTCGGCTAACGTTTCGATGGTGTCGTCTTCATCAGAACCGATGATCTGAGTCGATGGTACACAGTTGTTCGTGTTCTCGATGTGACGTCTTCGTGCGCATCAAGCTTGATCTTCCTCAGTGGAGCATCACTCTGGAATAAACTATATCCACTCGGCGATGCTTTTCTATGCGGCGCAGTTGTTGGTGTTGTTATTCGTTGATAATAGTTTGTTTTTTTTCATAATTTCTTTTCGTTTTTTTTTTGAAAGGATAATCCACCGTTTCAAAATTATTGTCCGATTCCTTATTCATACTTTTGGGCTAAAAATACTTCTACCCTATTTCCTTTTCTTAATTGCGTTTTCTTTTTTCATCAAAGTCGACATCTGCGCATGAAAATTCGGATATCTTCTCTTGTTCTTGACGGTTTCGAGGAGAAACCATCACTCCTCATTCCCCAGTCGATTAGAAAGACCTCTGTTTTGTTTTCCGAGCCCTCGGATCCAGCTAACCACTTTTTATCTATATCACTTATCTCATAATTAAGTACTTCGACGAAGGATAACAATAGTGACTGAGATGGAAGAAGTGTTGACGACAAATTTCTCAGTAGTTAGAATCTCTATCACGACCCAGATCACTGCAGGATTATGAATCGTCGGTCATGTTCCACAAGAATTTTTTCCTCTTTTCTTTTTTTTCTGAGAATGTATTTCATCAAGATTCCATCACGTATGCATCCGTATGCCTTTCCGAATGATATGGAAACTTATTTATTTACTTGATACTTGATACTTGAATGGTCCGTCCTCCTTGATTGTGCGCGCCCCAGCATAATCTCCATTTTTCGGAGATTTGCTGGTTAAACCACTGTTGTTCCCTGGAATCCCATGGTCGGCCTGGTAAAGTCTGCTCCAGGTCTTTACCAGCATAGACTGTCGCAGCCTTTGTGGATCAGAGGGATATTTGCCACCATGCGACTTCGATACCAGGACAGTGGTGGACCCTGGGCATTGGTTTACTCTTAGCTACGCTTTCTGATGGAAACGCCGGACTCCTTCTCGGCTTGGGAGACCCTACCAGGAGGATGAATCCTTGAACGTCGCAGCCCGATACCCAGGAACACCTCCCAGCCACGATGAGGCGGCAAACCGTTAGGAGGAAGACTCATTGAAGAACAATTAAATATGTTGTCGAAATCACAATGTATAACTTTTATCTACATCCAGTTTTTTTCCACGACACGGTATTATGTGAAATGCAGCACTATGATGCTGAGATATTTGCAAAACTAGTACTGCAGGTGAGATCGAACCGCGATTATCATTTCCGGGGTTCAAATGTTGCGCAAGGCACCACTGAATCCCTCGTTTTGCCTTTCTCTCAGCCAGTCTTATTACATTAATACGAAGTATTCGTAAACGATCCAGAAGCCCTCTTCGTCTTGCCATCGGGTCATTAAACATGAATAATGCTTTTGTAAGTTTCCATTAAATCCATAGGAGTTGAAATCTTCTAGGAACAATTGCATGAAGGGCGTGATGGGAATGCCGATACAATCAGTTTTCACTTTAACGTTTAAAGAAAAGGGGTAAAGAAAAGTTCAGCGATTGTTTATCACAGGCTTTCTACTTGTTCGCCGCCATTGGAAATACGTCTGTCGATAGAAAAACCGACTGCTAACTGGTTTTTTGATCGCATTTTCAATACCTTCCCTTCCTCTTGGAAAACTGTTTCATTGTTGGCATATCCACATAGAAGAACATATAACGTACAGCTAACTGCTAACTGTTATTACTGTTTCTTTTTATAAAGAATATTATGGCTTTCCTCCGGCATGGCCTACCTATAGCCTTTAGGTTCAACATGAGATTTATTCCATTTATCGACGTCGATGCTCCGTCTTCTCGATATACAAACTTTCAAAAGAATAGCGTGATTATGAAGTATTCTTAGTTGAATTTGCCTCGAAGTGATTGACTTCGTGACAGAACTACAAAGTTCTAGGAGTTCTCCAGCTAGTTAATTTTGACTACGAAGTACATCGCTCCATTGTCATGACAACTCTTCAATGTCAACGAGAAAAATAGAAGCCCAGTAGGTTTTTGATAGTTGTCCTGATGGATGTTTCATACTGGAATGGCGTGGAACCGAGTTTCCCGCCCTCAACCTGGCTCAGCCTAGGAGGACTGATGCCTCTGAGCCGCTCTGCTTTCTGGCTTCTCGTCACCAACATGTTTGACAGTTCTGAATGTTTTGAACAATTATAGATTTTTTTCAGACTGATACCTTTTTGTAGTTCGAACTTTTCCCTTCAGTTATAACTGCTACGGGTCATTAGCCACTTAGCCACTCAAGAATGCGTAGAAGATGATATTTCTTTGTTATCTGATGCTATTGTTACTGCTGTTAACTACAGATCATGTGTGTACAGGTTCGATTTTTTTCAGATTTCGAAATGCTATATTTTCTTTCCAACGACCAACTCTCATTTAATCTCAGCTTAAGAAGTCTATTATTTACCTATACTTCTTTCTTTATGTTATGAACTAGAAAAACACGAAGCAGTACTGTTGCTAACGTCATCCATATGCCGTTTTGTACAGAAGTAGCTGACTCTTCAATTAGGGTTTAGATAACTCGGATTTTTGTCCCCAACAACCTCTATAGGCTATTTTAAGACTCAATCGAAGCAGATGCCCATCAGTCTTTTCTCACTCAGAACGATTTTTTGCGGTATCCGGATGGTACGCTGTTTCTGTACTCGTTTGTTGCGTTTTTATTCTGTTTGTTCTACTTCTTCAAAAGTGTTAAATGTATCAGAAACATTTAGTAACGGATGAGAATCTTTTCCTTATCACTTCAACTAACTGGTTTACGATTTTTTGAATAGTTATTTCATTTACCGTAATCCAGTTATGGTATCTCTAAAAAGAGCATTTATAATATGGAAGTAATAGCGCTGTTGTTCAGAATTTTTCTTTCGGATGCTCGGAGAGCAAAGTACATAATGACGGAACGGAGCTATTTCACGAGGAACTCGTTCCCTTTTGTGAAATGTCACAAGGGAGCATTTCTATTCTATACTGGTACCAGTCTCTTACACCCGACCGTTCTGCCCTTCTTGCTGTGATCTATCCTTTCAAAATAGCTCGACGATATTTCTCACCGTCAAACTGTAGTGTGGGTGCTGATATCCTAGAAGATCCTCGCATTCTGAAGAGGTCTCCTGTCCAGCTGGGAGCCTTGTTAGAGTAAACTTCTACCAGAGTCCATAGTTACGTTCTCAAAGAAAAGCCGTTAAAAATGGCTACCCGTCATAAGTGTGGTGCTCTTCTCGTCTCTTGAGAGATTCGGATTCTCTAAGCAGACAAACGGCGATACCGGTTGATTTATCCGATATCTAGATAAGGGATGACAAGTGTTTGCAGGTGAATGGTCTTAGTTTCTTTTACATTGCAGATGATGAAGAGTTCTTGACCGAGGAAGATTTTCGAAATGGAGACATGCTGTCGATTCATTCACAACAGGTTATTGTACCGCATTTGTCTCGTCAGTCGTTTCTTCATGGAGATATCAAGGGAAAGGCTGCTTGGAAATTGGTAAAGTCTTTGTCTTCGTTCTTAATATGTAATGGATGAAAATCTTTCGAGGAAAAAATTTCAGTTCCAAATGTGTGATTTCTTGTTATTCAAAGTAAACTAACTGTGAGTCGTGACAAACAGCAATGTCTTCTTATCCCACTTTTACAATGGCAGTTGTTCCCGGAAAACATCGGATGTCATCAAAAGTTTTCATTTCTAACATGATGATGCTGATGCTCCTGATGCTAGCGTCTTTACCTCAAAAGAATCCCTCCTAGAAATCTCATTTTCTTGGTCTGCTGCTCCGTTGCCACTTCTTTCAGAGGACTTGCGTTGTGTTCTTTAGAAATTCTAGGTGTTTTCTTACAGTTTATGTTTTTACATGTAATCTTTACTGTGTGTACAGTTGTTGCGTTTGTTAGTTGGGTAATTGGAAATGCGAAAAGTAAAAGCGGATATGTTCGAGAGTTATCGGTACGATTAACGATGACTCGACTGGTAATCCTCTGGCTTGATTCCGGTTTGTTACGCGATCTCACAATGGAGTGACGCTGTGGAACCAGTCGTCTGTTGAACATCAACTGTCCCGCTAGTTGCTGTGTACCATCACTGCCCACTTCACTCGGCCACAGGAGAATGTTGAAGGAAATGAGAGCATAGGAGAGGGGCGCTGTACCGTGAGAGTAGCATCAAGAACGACTGATCAGAAAGGATTTTGGTTTTACAAAAAATTGTTGACCACACAGGAAAAATCCCTAGTTGATCATCTAGAAAATCCTTCATGGGAACTGATTTCACATATTTTGCGGATCCCAGTATTTCTTTAATTCGGTTCGCTGTCTTGCATCCGTCATCCATAAAGGTTTTTTTTCTTCCGATTTTACGCGTTTATTCCGGTGTCCACTGTTCGAGAATTTTGCTTTCTTCGCGAATTTCGTTGAGTTGTGGTGGAGCACATTCTCTCAGGAATGCAAAAATAGCTCTGCTAAAGCGTTTACATGAATACAATACGAGTCGTCGCCCACTTTCATGTAGCGGACAGAACTTTTCCATGAAGATCAGGCACCAATTTTCTGACCCCGGACAGGTGGGAGGTTGTTTGGCTCGTAGCGGGATCGTGGCAACGAGCGTGGGAGTATATTGCACGCTATTTGCAATTACTGCCCTTCCTGCGTGCGGAACACCTAGGATAGGTAAACTAGCAGGGAAGCCCATTTTATTTCATTTTTATTGTTACAGATGAACGTTTTGAGAGTATAAAGGAGGGCATGTTTAGAGCTGAAAGAAGACTGAATTCTCCGGTTACAGGGAAGCGGGTGCATGTGCAGGGACAATTTGAAGTAGGAGACATACACAAAATGATCAGTGATTTTATCTATCGGATAATCTATCAGCGGGCTTCCATTATCCATGCAGTGTTTATTATACCTTCCATCACAATTATGAACAGGTGTAAGCTCAACGATCACTAATTTTTGGCTGAAATTGCTACTAGGCAGAGGTGTGTGGCGCCTTATAGGTAATGTACCGGACGTTACTTCGGATAGTTCTTCATGGATTCTAGAAAGGACCTACTCAAACAACATCTGTCAGTATTTTTAAAGAAGACATAATCCTCAAGCGACAGCCGAATTCATATTCAAAATCCAAAGTTCTTCGTAGATGACGGATGCAAGAAGTGAAGTGGACGGAGGCAGTGCTGGAATCCATAGAATATGTGATGTTGAATTACAGCGAGAACAAAGGAATTGTATTGCTTTTTAGTATTTCTTCTCACATTTTCTGTTGGCTAAAACTGTGTGTCTTAGGGCTTAAAAAGCCTTAAATATTCTTATATATGTATGATATATAAAGCCGGCTCATGTAAAAAGTATTGTTTTAATCCACTGAGTGACCCAAATGACTAGATACTGTAGATAATGCCCTGTCTTTCTTGATGAGCAAACACGTGGTTGGTATTACTGCATTTATAAATATAGAAGATTTGATAGCTGGTATTTCGGCGGTTTCGCCTTCTTCAGAGCCCCGAACTCGAAGTCGACGCATTCGCCCATTCTCATAATAAACAACTTTTTACCTGTTCATTATATTAAACTGAGTGTTAATTAAATTTAGTATGAATGTGTCGTTTTCTTGTTCAACAATCGCGAGGTTTTTAAACAGCATACATTTACTTCCATAGAAAAACACAATACAATACAACGCTAGCTGACGTCTCGACAGTATCGCCTTCTTCAGAGCCGCTTTTTCGTCACTTCCAATGAGGAAGTTTAGAACAGCTGATCATAGTCGCATGTGGTTGGCGACTAAATTTAGTATGTTAAGTTTTGTCTGCTGATGTTCCGAGGGTGTTTGCGTTGAGTAAATTGCATGTCAATTTGACCTTTCCAGGTTCTGAAGAAGACGAAACCGCGAAACCCTCAGTTATTCTCTATTGATAAATGCTGTAATACCTATTATTTGTTCATCAAGAAAGTCAGTGAATCGCTAGCGAATGCTAAGGTTAAAAAAAAGTCGGTCCTGCGATTTGTACATAATTCGTCGGAGGTAAGACGAAAGAGAATACACCCTGCTGAAGTAATGGTGTATTTTGTACCTTTCAATTGTCCTTGACGAGCTAACACAAGGTTTTCTTCTCAAAATTGATTATAACCTCGGCGTGAATCACCAATATTTTCTTGGATTATTAAGCTAAAAATGGGTTTTATAGAAGCTTTATTCTGTTTCGGCTCAGCCTTCATCAGAGTCCGACTAGTCTTAGTCGATTGCCTACAGCCGTTTGTACTTACGATCTGGGTTTTTTGTTTCGTGTTGCATCGTATCGGATCTGGTGTGGAGCACAGTTCGCATGAAGTCTGCTCTAGGCGGCGCGCTTTTATGAAGGATGGTTGTTGATTAGCTGATTTTGCCTCATCCAAGCGGTGCTCAACTCTGGAGGATTTGACTCGACGTGTCTATGAAAACTCACATCGCGAGGACTAACGACTGGGGATAGTCTACTCAGGTCATCGCAGTTCTGAAGGAAACCAAAGCTCGGAAACGTTGACATAACAAAACTTTTATTCTAATGTCGCGTTAGCTTGATAATCTAAGGAAATATTGCTACAATGTTGTTTCAACGTTTATTAGCCTTCAGTGTGCAGTGTTTTGGCGACATTGTTCTCCACAGACTGGGTTTCCAGTTGTCTATCTTTTGCAGAGAGTGAGAGCAACCGAGTGCTATTCACACAAGCTGAAAATAGTGGTTAGCTATTGAAAGAATTGCGAAAAAAAATCTCTGATTCAACATGGTTGTATGCAAAAGTAAATGTATATCCGAGAAAAACACTGATTTTTATTCGGGAACAATAATCCTCTAGAAAACTCGCCGAAAAGGTACTCGACGAAATGGTGTTATCAGTGGCATTAAAAAATGGCCAAGTGGAAGAATTCCATATGTGATTAGTGGTCAGTACTCGGAAAGAGAACGTGCAGTTCTGGCTAGAAGCTTTCAGGTAATCAACCGAACCTTCTTCTTATACCGTGCTCATTAAGCCTTATCAGAGATTTCTTCAGCTTCTCCTTTTTTATTATTCGACAGATATCGCCATAATTTTCTCCTTTTTTTAGGAATATCACAGAAGGACGTGCGTACGGTTTGTCGCCCGTACTCCTCTAGACAGAGATTATTTGTACATTGGAAAAATTGATGGGTAAAACGTTGAAATGAAATTTTGGCTAACAAGCACTCATAAATTACGGATTTTGTAATCGCTACGTTGAGTTTTAGACATTTGAGTGATCTCTTAGGATATTTTTCGTTTTTAAATAAAGAAAGACTCATATATTACTTATGTATTCACACCTATATTTGCACACTAAAAGCAAATAAGCACATAATATTTGCAGTTTTTGTAATGACAGGTGTTTCTCTGACGTTGGAAGAGCCGGTGGACGGCAAGAGTTGTCGCTAGACGATGGATGCATGCAGGTGGATTCTTATTTGCATTGTTTATCGTGTCATGAAGAAGAACACACAGGAAAGCGTTTTCGGGCAAAGTCTTATTTTCTTGTACTTTCAATATTGTATGAGCGATCTTCAACCGGAAATAGTTTCTGCTTATATGCCTGATTTTACCAAAAAAATTGGGTAGTGAAACAATTGTTAAGGTTGTTTACAATATATGGCAATTGTATCTTTTACATGGGGCTGATAGCACAGTGATAGTGATGTCCGTCATCACGAAAATGGTGACAGTTCTATTTTGCTCCGGGCCAACCAAGCTTCTCGTCACTTCAGGATCGGGGAATCGGTACCGGACTTGTCTGGGAAAAACACTCTCTGCAGTCTAATTGGGAACGCTCCAGCCCAGCTATCTCAGGTCTCCAGGGAGGATCGCTCGACCAGCACTCTACGACATTCAAAATGAAATGAAAATCTTCAAGCAGCAACCGAAGCCACACGTATAAACTTACAATACCTTCATGAATGATGTATGAATGTATGTATGGAAACGACTTGGATGTGAGAAGTGCTGGGATCCGCACAACAGACGTGAAAACGGATGAAATTAAATAAAATAAAATGAAAATAAAAGAAGATCTTTTACTTTCTTCAATGCAGAAACAATAGTCGTTCATTTAATGGTTTTTTTTCCTATATTTTTTTTCCGAATTTTGCCATCAGTCTTCTTTGCTTTTTTTTAAACCTCCCTTTTGAGGTCTATAGCAACGAACGACATTATTAGAAAAGTTTCCCTACAGGGATTGCTAATTTTCCTAGTTTTTCCTTCCTTTCTCATTCCTTCATGAATGCTCCCATGATGTTCATTTCCTGGAAATACACTTTTTATCCTTAGCTGCTATACACTGTATGGAAAAATGATCTATGTGATATATTTCAGTACGACACAGCGATCCATGAACTCATGCATTCGGTTGGATTCTACCACGAACACGAAAGATGGGATCGAGACAATCACATCACAATTCTATGGCAAAATATTGATAAAGGTTATTGCATGTGCAGACACTAGAGTAAAGCTTTATCTCGATTTGTCCATTCTTAGAAACATCGTCTCACTCAGGAGTGTTTCGCCACAGGAATTCATGAATGCTTAAGAAATGCTGTTTCTTCTCTTCATCCATTCAAATCGTATTTATCTTTGTTACTCCGACCATCGTTATAGATGCTTACGATCAGTTTGGTAAGGTTGATATGAGCCAAAGTTCCTACTATGGACAGATGTACGACTACTTTTCCATCATGCACTACGACAGTTTGGCATTCTCGAAGAACGGCTTTGAGACCATGATAGCCAGGCGCCCGGAGATGACAGCGGTTATCGGATCCGCAATTGACTTCAGTCCGGTAGGTGCAACTATGTTCCTTTAATCACAAAGCAGACATCTAAAGTACATGGTTATTATACTGCTGATAAATCGACTTTTCATTGAGATATAGTCAGTTATATCGTCAGAAATGAAGTGTGTTCAAATCTACTGTTTACTAACATTTTTATTATGAAGAAATTAGAATTTTAGAACTAAACAACCAATACTTGATGCTTGAATGGCCCGTCCTCACTGGTTGTACAGGCCTCAAGACCATCTCCATCCCTCGGACATTTGCTGTTTAAGCCATTTTGGTTCACTGGAATCCCGAGGTCAGCCTGGCCAAAGTCTGCTTCAGATCTTCACCACCAGAGGCAGTCGCAGCCCTTGTGGATTAGAGGGAGATTCGCCACCATGCGGCTTTGATACCAGAAGGGTGGTGGATTCTGGTATTAGTTTACTCTTAGATAGGCTTCCTGATGGAAACGATGGACTCCTCAGCTTGGAAGACCCTACTAGTGGATGAATCCCCTGCTGTACATCGCAGTCGGACATCTAGGAACACCTCGCTGCCACGACGAGGCGGTAAACCGTTGAGACGAAATGATCAATAGCACATGCGAAATTTGCTGGATCTTTGAAGGTCACAAATATTCGCTCGTAAGGACGTGAGTACTGCAGTTGTTAAAGGTACCATGGAGTACGCATTGGTTAGTTCTATCTAGCACTCTCGACAATGTGAGCTTTCCTTCTCTCTGACGAGGAAAAATTGATATCTCTTATCTGAGTGGATAGCAATGGCATAGTAATCCACTTTGTAGACCAAATATGCAATACGGTACCACCTCTACGATAGTTAATGGAGTCGAATGCGTGCCACATCCCTAAGTGATTAATCACAGCGAACGCTTTATCCTCTAATATTCTGCTATGTTTTCACGAGTATAGGAAGAAAGCAAATTTTCTTTACTGAAGGAATCTTGGGCGTATTAGTCTCAAAGTTACGTGGAGCGTTCCTATATGACGGCTAAAGAAGTAAAGGCATTCAAGAGCAACTTTCTCTGTGGTGAATTCTGGCGTATTCACCATCAGAGGATAAAAGAGATGGTATGACCACCTTAGATAGTATATAAGAGGCGGTCCTGAGACTCCATATCAAAAGTGTATGCTCCTCATGCTTCTTGAAAGAGCGGAGCAAGGATTTAGCAACTCTGAGGACGACGACGGACACATGCATGTTTTACTGCTACCGCTCGAGTCACTCAATCAATGGTAGTAATACATGAGATAGGGGTAAATGTGAAAGGAGCACGGACGGGACAGTGTTTGATCACGTTGAGACTTCCAAGGCGATTTATTTGTAATGAGAATGATTCAAAAGTGAAAACGTTAGCGAAAAAAAAAACGATGCCATCTTTTCATGCAAAGAAATTTAACAAACTGTGGTTAAAAAGGTTTTTTGTCCTCTACAGTTTACCACCACATTGTGGTTGAAGTTTAGGATATATTCATGGTGATGAATTGCGGTATGCAGAGTGGGCTCATTTTCTTAGCAGGGGCAACCGAGCTCAGAAACTGTTCGACATTTTCATCGAATGCTTATCACAGAAGTCTTTCATGAGCTTCATTTGCTACTTCATTCCAAAAAAGAGGCATGAAAGGACAAAAAGGATAAAGCTCTCGGCGTTGATCAATCCCTGAGGAATGCGCCATGCATCCGACTTCATTAATTATCGTTAGAGGTGATTGAATGCATATCAGGCCTTTACAATGACTCACAGTGGCTTACCGTATCCAGCCAGTGCTGCTATCCTTCCAGACAAGTCTGTTACGAATTTGCCGATCCCGGCGGGATGGAGGGCTTGGTGGGCCATGGGCGCGGAGATCTATTCCACGTGTGTGTCGCAGTGGCGCCTCCAACCTCTTCGCCACACGTGTCCCTTAGAAATATGCATAGGAGGCATAATTACAAACGTTGAGCTCCTCGGTTACCGTATGCGAACGGAATCCAATGAGGACTTTAGGGCACGTTGCGAATGAGTGGAGAACTTACTGGTACCCACTGTGTGAACTGCAGATAGTGAGAAAATGAATTTCGTCGAAAAACAGTGATCTTTATTTCGCCAATTTTTCGAAAATATAAGAGATCCGCTTAGTTTTTATACAAGTTGATTTTGGAATGAATGGCAACGCGCCAGAATTTGGGATTAAATTATTGCTCGATATGCTTCAAGTAGACAATAGAAAGGAAATCGTAGAACGTTTCAGATCGATATCCTAAAAATGAATTTGATGTATCAGTGCGGCAATAGAAGGACAACAGAAGAGGAGCTGTTCCCACCGTCTATTCCTGCCCCTATTTCTCCACCCGGTTTTTCTAAAGATGGTGAGCATAACCGAAGGGAATAATTTAGAAACGAATAAAAATGAGACACAAAGATTGCCAGTGCAGAATTCCGAATCCTATTGATGCCGTGGATATTTTGATATTACTATCAGTTGATGGATTTAGATAGAAGCTCAACATCACCTTTTTCTTTTGTAGGCGGAAAATCTTTGCTCCACTGCGGTTCATTTATACAACTGTTCTCCCGTTAACAATTAAAGGCGTTGTTTCTACTTTTATCATAACAGAGCTGTTAGCTTGAATTTGGACGACTTTTGGCTATTCTTTATTTTTCCACAACGGAAGAAGAGCCAGTGAAAAACGGGTCAACAAACAGTTGTGTGGAAATGTAGAACAAGTTAAGAACAAAACAGCGTGTCTTACCAGTTATGCTGTCGATGAAAATCTGCTCATTTTGGTAGTAAGGCGCCCCGAAAAAGCGTATTGGATCAAGTCATTATTTCTTTCTATAAATGGAATTTTGCCCAAAAATGGTATCGAAAGAAGGATTATAGTGATTGTTGACTCTACTTCACCTGTAAAACAAGCATTATGCCTTTTTATAAATAGTACTAAACTGTTATTTTCTTGTTCAGCAATCGCGAGGTTTTCAAACAACACGCATTTACTTCCATAAAAACACAATACAATACAACAGTAGCTGACGTTTCGGCAGTATCGCCTTCTTCAGAGCCTGGAAGGGTATACTGATATACAATCTACTAGGCCAAACGCTTCAATAACACTTACAACAACACGAAAAACTCTATGGTAATTACATGATCAACAGCTCGAAAAAACCCACCGCTTTTTCGGTATGCTGATATACAATCTACTAGGCCAAACGCTTCAATGACACTTACAAAAAGACGAAGAACTCTCCGGTAATTACATGACGTGACTTCCAATGAGGAAGTTTAGAACAGCTGATTATAGTCGCATGTGGTTGACTACTGCACCATCCCACATCAAAAATCGATGCGAACGTACGGGATCAGGTCGCGAACGACCTCCAGGCATTCATCCCTGCTATTCATTGTAGGGTTTTTGGCATTGATCCAAAAAGCCTCAAGGAGTTTTCGCGCTGGTGTTTTGGACTCCTGTGCAAGGATATTGACTTTTACTTCAAAATCGTCTCTCTGCTATGCTTTTGTATCCTATGCGTGCCTAGTGGGGTGCTTCGTCTTAGTTTTCATTTGCCATCTAGGTGTTCTTTTATACGGATACACAAAGGTTTGCCCGTTTCGCCAATATATTCATCTCCACAATTATTACAAGAGACCAGGTATATCGTACCTGAACTCATGCAATCACCGTCCCTGCCGTAAGCGATATACCTGTATGCTGTTTAAAAACCTCGCGATTGCTGAACAAGAAAACGACACATTCATATTCCAATGCCGAGGTTAGGAGAAAGTCGATCCTGGGAACTAAACTGTTATTTAGAATGTGTTGATAAAACGAATCTGTGTTGGCGATGGCTCGATCGATGTAGCTCGTTCTTCTTCGAGAAAATCATGAAGGAGTTCTGCGCGCGCTCGTGCGGATTCTGTACGCCTAAACCTTTCGTGTTCGCTAAGACAGCCGTTAGAGCTCCTTCAGCCGATGGTTATCTACAACCTCGTTGAAGTTATGAGGAAACACTCACAAGGCCGTAAAAGGAGTGTTCAACCGAGTAGCATTATTAGATCAGCTCTTATGAAGCTTTTGACTAGTTGCTACTTTCCTATTTTTGCATAGTCCTGATTCAGTAGACAATTTTGGGAGCACCTAACCATATCGGGTCTTTAGTCATCTATCGAAGTGCGGTTTCACTCGAGCTTTCAAATAATGTCATTTTTTCTAAAAGAGAGAAAAACTTAATTTACGTTAATTAATAGGATTCCTCTAACTTTTGGACTCTAACACATAGACACTGTTCCTCTCAATAATTTTAGCGTACATCTTTAGACCGGGTTAGTATAGAACAGGAGGGGTGACAGAACGGTTACTAAACATCCTTGAATCCCGAATCGTAGAGTGGTATCCTAGCATATAATGAGTCCTAGTTATGTTATAACCATTTCTAACTCAGATTTGTCATTCATAGCAGTTAGTCATCTTAAGTCAGACAATGTTGTCTAGTCACTTTATAACTCGAGTATCGTAACATACGCAGCCTTTTCGTTGTGTTCAAAATGTATGTGCATTAGGAAAATCTTAATGAATCGTTTTATTGACTTAATACGAGTACACTTGGACACAAAAATATAATGCCGACTTGCTGCCAATTCAACGTATAGCTCAAGTACTTCTAGTATTCATGAGATTAGCTCTTCGCATTCGGTATTCCTTCATGTAGAAGTCAATAAGTCGGACAAACACAAGAGTTCCGATCAGGGCAACGACGATAGTTGCTAAAATTCGACATCGTGTTCCATTACGGTTTAAATTCTCTTGGTGTTTATTGCACTTCTTGCAACGTCCAAAGTCAAACCGAAAGATAAAATTATGACACGGTCAGGAACCTCAGAGGTTTCATTTAACATTCTGTTTTGCTCTACAATACTTTTGATTTTGCACTAAAATAAGGCCACTTCAGCGTTTTGGGGTGTATGCTCGCGTAGACTTGAGGACTATCTAGTTGGATTCATCACTTCAGCAGGGTTCTTCATACCGAGCATGAGTTCGAGATTCCGTTCCGAAAGCCGAACTCGAAGCCAACCAATGCGATGAATCGCTGATGTCTTACAAGAACCCCGGTAACTAGATAGCAAACTCCAATTCACAACGCTGGCGAGTGGTCTGTTGTGACGACCTAAGAACGCCTTATCATGGTAATTGCCGACACCAGGAAAGACAACAAATACCTTAATAAACTAGCTTAATCATCACATACATTGGACGCTCTAATCTAATTCTGATGATAAGACAACCAATGTAAGGTTATGGAGCCTTAGCCTGCATGGAAAGTTACTATAACAGAGGAGTATTTCCTCAACAGGCCACGGAGACTGTCCTTTGCTCTGAACTTATACTGCTAAAACAGTCTCTTCAGACGCCAATCTTCATACCTTTCTTGGGTTCTTGTTACCGCGTACCATGTCAAATTTGCGATCACCTTTGATCGCCTTACATATAACAAGAGTTTGAATGAACAAGGAAACCGTTTTGAAAAGACAAACACTTTACCCATTTTAACGATTCATCTGTCCACCGAGTGCTATGCTATGCAGATGAAAGTTCTACCACGTTGGGAATTACCACACTACGGGGAGCTTATAATCAAGCTAACCGTAATGTGGGTTCTTCGAAAATTGTCTTACCTTCAGAATTTAAGAGAATATGCTTCGGAAACGAAATAGTTATGAGAGGTCATCAAATAAAAAGAGTTAACGTTTGGAAAACAAGAGCAATAGGTAAAGGCTGTAATCGCAACTGCGAAGAAGTAATTTATAGGCTTTGAAAGGTACTAGCTTCACTTTAGGAATGGCAATTAGAAATGCGATGAACAAGATCTAGCATGCCATTGAGAGAAGGAGAGGGGTGACCAAGTTATAGGCGAGCCCACGCACGAACCTGGTAACTATAAACAATAGTTTCAGCACTAAGAAACGACAAACAAAATGATGGAGCCTGTACGACAGGTGAGGATGAGCCATTTCTGTATATAAATGATTTCTGGATAAGGCAAAACATGGACAGCAGTATAGCATAGTGTACAGTATCTTCGGACATAAAACCCTTTGTTGGAGTCAGTCGTTTAGTGGCGGGGTCTCAACTACTATCCTCGCAAACCTCGCAAATCATCGCTGAACGCGTCAACAACATCCATTAACTTCAAAAAATCTTAATTGGGAGGAAAGATGTTTCAATTTTCGTTAAGGTCAAGATTTATTGATTTCCTCTCTCTTTAAATCGTTATGAACTGCTTCCATTCCGTTGCGTGTTTTCTTTTTGTTTGATTCAACACACGAACTTTCGAATATGACTTGACAGCACCCACCTAATACAATCGGCACGGCTCTTGCCCAACCTTTGCTAAAGAAATGATGATGTTGCATCCGTTTGATTGCATGCGGATACGCCATTCGCCTGTAATGTTCCTCTGCAATTAAGGTATAATTGTGCTCAGTTCTCCTTTCATAACAGCCGTGTGTAGCGCAACGGTTAGAGGTGCCGGGCTCGTCATGTTCATACATTCTCATCCACATCCGATGGTGACAAAGCACCGCATCACGCCGCGTTTAGCGATTGAGAATTGATATCAGACTTATCTTAAAACACTGTCTTGAGACGTCAGTAGACCATAGCAAGTTAGTGCATAAGCTACCTGTGTTTCAAGCACCTCGACGATGCTTGATGGAGTCGAACGTGTGGCACATCTCCTAGGGATTGATCAACGCCGAATGTTATATGGTTTTACCTTTTCCTACACTTCAATATTTAAATAAACCTCGGATATATAAATTTGATGCCAACTTGTTTTAAACCTTATATCTAGACTATCGTGAAAAGAATATAAGTTTACCTTTTTAAGCTTTTACGATTTGTATTTCAGTAAAGTTGGTATCAGTATTTCAGTTGGCTCCGTTGTGTTCAGGACATCATTTTAAAGCATTATACAATATCATTAAAACATCATAAACACAATGTTGATAACAATAATGATGCTGAGATATTTTCAAAATTCCGGACCGCTGGTGTCTGCAGTGGGTACCAAAGACGCTATAGGGCAATAACATGGCTGAAAGACAGGCGAGACGAAGGACTTGTACGGCGTGGTGGTGAACGCGTTAGCCCCCGAAAAGGGTAATAGCGTGTTCGGGCCTCACCGCAAACACCAGCGGTCCTCACTATTGCCAATATCTCAGCATTATTATGGTTATATTCCACATAATATTCTACCATTAAAAAAAGTAGGCAGTAAATAAAAAGTGGCGACGTAATGACGTTGTAATGTATTTGTTAGGCTTAAGTTAAAATTGGGCCAACTAAATAAGAATGGAAAAAATCAAGCACTAACGACTTTCTTTCCGGCCCCAAACAGGAACTGAAGGTGTAGAAACCACCCTTACAATAGTAGGATTGGTCACTAAGTCGCAAACAATCACAGAGTACAAAGGTGGTTTCATAAGTTTAGAGATGGAGAGGTACAGTCCTTGAAGACAAGGTTTTTTCGAGGTTCATTTTTTATATCGAACGTGACCATATGATATGAGGACTTTTTCTTGAAGCAGTTGAATTAACAACACGACTAGGATTAGTCGAAGAATTAGATGTGTGTGAAATAACTGTTAAAGTGTGTACGGCGCAGTGGTAGTGATACTACTCATCACGAATACGGTCCTGGTTCGCTTACGCGCTGACCTTTCTAAGCCTCTATTACCCCCGAGGCCCTTGCTTTTGCCTTTCTCTCATCTAATTCCTTTACCTTAACGGTGCTATCAGCAATCACTTGTTAACAGGAGAAATAGCGGGACCAAAATCAGCACTGAACCCGGTTAAGTTGAAGCTGCAGTCGAAATCACAATGTTTCAATTCAGATATCCGACAGCAGCGCGCACGTGAGCTTCCTGAAAGGGTAATCGTAGGTTCGAGGCTCAGCGGGGACTCTGAGTTCTGCAAATATCTATGCATCATTTTGGTTGCATTCTACAGTTACGGAATTTTAAGTTTTTTAAGGCGACGAGTCACCTTTCATATACGAATTGCTAACCAGATCAGACTTCTTGAAATGGCTACGGCATATCTGCAAACCCCTAGTGAAATAACAAACACCAGAAGTATGGTTAAAAACAACGACGTATAGTTGCGTTTCTGAACAAAGGAAGCTAAAGAATACGGATTAAGAAATAAACATTTGAAACAACCACTTGATGGAACTCATGTGGAAGACCCATGATGTCTAGGAATAGCTAAGGAGATTACGACGACTCCGGAGACAATGATGCTACTCCTTCTCAACAGTGAATGCCAAATCACTTAGCATAAAATAGATGTTATAGGTGAGAGCAATGTTCGCTCACAACGAATCTTATTACCTTTCCTTTCTTTAAATTTTGATCAGCCCTCATTCTGAGCAAATGCACTATATGCCGTTGTGACTAATCTATTTGTCAACTCAGAGTTTCGTAAAGAACGAACAGAACCTGCCTGTGCGCATTCATCGGGTTGACCCATCTCCGAGTGGATATGTCCAGCACCCATTCTTCTGCAGTCTTGTTTATGTTGCCAAAAGATAACACCGGTCGAACTGCTGCACATGCTAAGGCGACACTTTGATCGAATATATCCAGTGATAACCGGTCAATCCCGAGCACTGGACTGCAGATGTACAAGCATTAGTAGAAAAAATAAAGGTTTAATACACTTAAACGAGAGATGCACAATTATCGGAGGTGTCACCGTGCAGATTCCCTGATTTTTCTGGGCACCGGATCAACCAAGTGGTTCATCTCTTCGAAGTCATCAAAGTGGTGTCATACTTATTTGGGAAAGGTCCGCGCTGACTAAAAAAGGGTGCCAGGTCCCTGTGGTGAGCGCATGAGAACGCCCTAGCAGTTACCCCACGATTCCATAAGAATCTCGATCTCAATTCTTTAAAAGGACCAAATGCTCATGCAGTAGCGTGATCCACAAGCAGATC